ACCCGTTCATCAGCGCGATTTCTGCTATTTGGATTCTGGAGATTTGCAATCAATTATATGCGAAATTTCCTGGAAATTCTTCGATATGGAGATGAACGAAATTACAGTAAGTTTCCTTCGCAGATATGCGAAATTTATGTGAAATTTTTTGATATGGAGATGCACTCTCCTTGGCAGATGAATGCAGTTTCCTTCGAAGTTGAAATTGTGATGAGCGAAATTTCATCGGCACCAAACTCTTGCCCAAGAACGGTAACTTTCCTTAATTCTTTGTCCGATTCCACTTTTTTCACGGAATTCCTTACGATTTAGTTTATATTTAAATCAATTCTAAATTAGCCAGATATCTTGCACGCAGACTCGAACTATCCGTATTTAGTTGGTAATGCTCCTTCCTTTCGCCTTAAAAGTATTTTAATTTGAATTACATACACGTTAAAGAGTAGGATTAGATGGAATAACTTCTTCTTCATTCTTCTGAATATCATCATTACATTGCAGACACTATGGGAATTCTTTCCGCTGTTGGGAATGAAAGAGATATAGTGAAGGGGAGTCAAAAAGAACAAAGATGATTGTGGTTACATTGGAGGCCGAAGGGTATAATGTTATTATTATTTGTTTCGTAAAACAAATTTTTTTAATGAACATACATGTAATGATAACTTTTTTACTTTGGTATAGCAGATCAGATAAGATCTCATCAAAAATTATTATTATTATTATTATTATTATTACTATTATTATTATTATTATTATTATTATTATTATTATTCTTAAAAATGAAAAAAGAATAAACTTTAGAAACAAGTTAAATAGAAAATTGAGAAAGTAATTCTTAATTATTAGACATTGGAAAAATTATTTTTAAAATACATGGACAATGTCAATCTAATTCTACTTTTAAAATACATTTTTATTGATGCTTGTAATTTGATATTCTAAATTTTTGATCTTTTATAAGGATGATATATTTTAATAAAAATACTATCTCTTCTATATATTGATTATCTAAATTTAATTACGTTTTAATGTATATATAAATTAAATATTTATTCTAATGTATATATGAAGTAATTATTAAAATATTAAATTAATATTCTAATTTCACAAAAAAATTTATCATAAAATAAAAAATATTATTACATTATAATATGAATGATTATTTTAATATATCAATTAACTAATTTTATTTTATTAAAAAGTAATCATAAAATAAAAAATATTGATTATATTGTAATATGAATTATCATTACAATTTTCAAACGTTATTATAAAGTCAAATCAAATTATTGATTTGAATTTTAAATCAAATCATAATTAATCAGATCAGATTAGATCCAATCAGATCAGATCAGAACTTATTAAAATCAAATCAGAAAAAATAAGTTGAAAGGAACGGAGCCTTATAATATCACGAGTTACCTTATTAAAGAATACATCAAATTTATATATTTATGACATAGTATCACTTATTATTAATAGAATTCCAATTTAACGATATTCTTACCAAAAAGAACAAAACTACTTATTTTGGATATCTAATGGGAACTTTATATATAAATACACGATAGTCGTGGTTATTTTTCATCCAGCCGTAAACATCTTACTACTCACCTGCTTCAATAGCTACAATGCAAAACCAATGTAAGGAAAGATTAATATTGGCAAAAGAAGCGAGAACGCGAAGAAAAAAAGTGCTTCAACAAAAAAAACATCGAATAAAGGTATTTCTTGAACTAATTATATTTCTTTATTCATTATAAATAATTCATATTTTCAATAAGCTTTAGTTATGTGAAATGCAAATACTTTGTGCATCATTATAAAGATTCGGAATGATTTTTTAGAAATTTGTTGAAAAAATATATTATCTTAGCGCATGTGTGTTGAAAACTACATATTCTCAAGAACACGGTTTTAACAATATTTCTAAAAAGAAAAATTACATTGAATATTGAGGGAGACCTAAGAGTCATATTGATAGTATATCAATAAATGATATAGAATTCTATAGAATTATTACATATTATAGAATCGTATACATTAATTGTTAATTTTGTTTTCCATGTATTTTTCTTTACAAAAAACCATATATTGTTTTAGAATACAACATTTCATTTTTAAGGATGTAATATTATAGACGCATTTATAACAATTTATAATATTGTTGTGTATAACTAAGGCTCCGTTCCGATCAACTTATTTTTTATGATCTGATCTGATTTTAATAAGTTCTGATCTGATTGGATATGATCTGATCTCATTGGATGTGATCTGATCTGGTCTGGTCTGATCTGATTAATTATGATTTAATTTAAAATTTCAAATCAATAATTTGATTAGACTTTATAATAACGTTTGAAAATTGTAATGATAATTCATATTATAATATAATCAATATTTTTTATTTAATGATTATTTTTTAATAAAACAAAAATAGTTAATACATATATTAGAATAATCATTCATATTATAATGTAATAATATTTTTTATTTTATGATTATTTTTTTGTGAAATTAGAATATTAATTTAATATTTTAATAATTATTTCATATATACATTAGAATAAATATTTAATTTAGATGTATATTTAAAAGTAATTAAATTTAGATAATCAATATATAGAAGAGATAAAATTTTTATTAAAATATCTCATCCTTATAAAAGATCAAAACTTTAGAAACTCAAATTACAAGTAGGAATAAAAATATATTTTAAAAGTAGAATTAGATTGACATTGTCAATGTATTTTAAAACTAATTTTTCCGACGTCTAATAATTAAGGATTATTTTCTCAGTTTTCTATTTAACCTATTTATAAAGTTTATTCTTTTTCATTTTTAATAATAATGATGATGATGATGATGATGACGACGACGATGATGATGATAATAATAATAATAATAATAATAATAATAATAATAATAATAATAATAATAATAATAATAATAATAATAATAATTCTTGATGAGATCTGATTTTAATAAGTCCTGATGTGATCTGATCTGATCTCATTGGATCTGATCTGATCTGATTTGATCTGATTGGATCTGGTCTGGTCTGATCTGATTCGATTCGGTCTAATCTAATCTGATCTGGTCTGATCTGATCTGATCTGATTTTAATAAGAATAAGAAAAAATAAGTTGAATGCAACTGGGCCTAAGTGGTGAACGCCAATTATATTAAATTTTATTACAAACAAATATCATTGTAACAACTATAACCATATTATAAACTTATTACTGAAACATAGTCGTTTTTTGTGACTCAAAGCTGACAACTTTTTCAAAGCCTCTGTTGGAAAATAATAACTTTAAAATAGAAAGTTGAAATTTTAAAATTAAGCATATTTTTTATTACACTTGATGTTTTTATTTTAATATATACAATAAATCATAAGAGCATTGTTAGATAAACATAACAATAAATATTTATTTATATTATAAATAATAATAATAATATTATTATTATTATGGATATTATTATTATTATTATTAATGTTGTTGTTGTTGTTATTATCCACCGTAATTTAGGAACCAAATTTTAATCAACAGTTTTTTATTCTTTTTGTAGAAAAATATTTTTGGGTTTTATTTTAATAATAATATTATTATTATGGATATTATTATTATTATTATTATTATTAATGTTGTTGTTGTTGTTGTTGTTATTATCTAGCGTAATTTAGGAACCAAATTTTAATCAATAGTTTTTACTTTTTCTAGACAAAATTGATAAACTTTAACCTAAAAAAAGTAAAAAAAAATTAGATCTTGATATAAAAATAATATTATTAGATTTATTATATCAAGTATTTTCAAAATATTACTTGGACTAGTGATCGATGGAAAGCTTGGACAAGTGATTGATGGAACTGCTGACGTTGAAATTCCTCTCGAATTTTTGATTCTAGATAACAGTTCTCCCCTCAAAAGTATAGTGGACACTACTTATCCGAATTTATTGGAGATTATGAGAAGTTATTCTTTTTTTTGAAGACAGGGCATTACTAGCACCCACGCTCGAAGTTGTTGAGATGGTAAATGAATTTGTCTTATCTCTCATTCCCGGGGATGAAATGGTGTACTTGTGTTCTGATTCATCATGCCAAGCAGATTCAGATGTAGGTGTTGATGGCGACTGGATAACAGTTGAGTTTTTGAATGAAATCAAATGTTTGGGAATCCCAAATCACAGGATAGTTTTTAAAAAAGGGTACCAATTATGTTACTGAGGAACATTGACCAAACATCTGGATTGTGTAATGGTACAAGATTAATTGTTGACAAGATGCGAAAAATGTTATTGGTGCTATTGTGGTTTCGAGAAATCGAGTGGGCGAAAAAGATTGCATACCCCGGATGAATTTGGTATGTCTGATCCAAGACTACCTCTGAAGTTCTAGAGAAGACAATTTCCAATAGTCTTATGTTTTGCTATGACTATTAACAAAAGTCAAGGTCAAACATTGTCATTTGTTGGTCAGCTTTATGTTGCTGTTTCGCGAGTGAAGAAAAAGACAGGATTAATATACTAGCCTTAGATGATAATGGAAATCCTTGCATTCATATCAAAAATGTTGTATACCCTGAAGTCTTTCAAAAAATTTGGTATTAAAACAAACTTTGTTGTGTGTAGATTCAATTCCTCAAATATTATTATTTTTACTTTGCCTTTCTTTTCTGTGTTATTATAAATCATGCATGAAGTATATTATCCTTTATTTCGGAAAAAAATATTACATTAAAAAAATTCAGAATCGACAAGATATTTGTCCGAACCCGTGCGTGGCACGGCAGTAGATAATAGATATTGAGTGATATGGGTTGTGGGGTATTATTGCTAAACTCCTTATTGACCTTTTTTTGTGTGAAAGAAATTAACTTTTTTTAAAACAAGGAAACGAGAACAAAAAACATACTCCCTTAGTCTAATTTTTTTTATCACATCTGTTCTATTATATCTATAAAAGTACCATCAAAATTGTCAAATCAATTTTCCCCCCAAAATCATAAATCGATGGCCCAATTTTGCCCAAAAACTGATGAAATCCTGACCAGAGATGACAATCTCAATTTCAGTTTTGTAAATAACTGAAATTCCCATAGAATTTCCGTTAGAAACCGCTACGCTACGGTTTTCTCCGCCCCTTCTCATTCGGTTCTGTGACCCCGACGACGTCCTGCTCTCTCCTAGCCATTAAAATTCTGCTCAGAAGCATGGTAAAGAAGAAGCGACCTCCTCGCACTGGCACTCCAGTCAGTTACGCTGAAATACCTGAAGGACAAAAGTATTGTTGGATTATAAGGGATGATCTGGATTTACTGAAGCAGTATTGTGACTTGCTGGAGTGGATGAGAAGTTGGGGCCATAGAGATGGGGCGGACTTCGACGGAATCAGGTCTCTAAATGTCGTCCATGATTTTCCTTTAATTGAGATTTCCATCTCTACTCCTGGTTTGTCAGAAAAGAAGTTTCTAATTTCTAGGGCTACCATGTATATTTTGGCATTTCACTGTCAAACGAAATGGATGGTTTACAAAGATGAGGAGTTTAAAATTACATTTCCAGAAGAAACAGAAATCTTAGAGAAGAAAGCATGCTACTCCAGTGATGATGCATTTAACAGTCTTGGTCCACTGAAGATGATTGAGGCACTAGAATATGGATTCTACAGAGACTACAGACATGTGCTTGGGTTGTGAGATCTTCATGGTACATTTATGTGAGGCTGTACGATTTAATTTCGTGAAGTGGACCATTGGTGCAACGTTGGTGCCAACCCAAGTGCCTATCAGAGATGATAATGCTGAGTTACACAAAGATATAGAAGGCACCGATAGTTCTAAAGATATCTTGCCTCATCTAGCCCCTCTTAGGGTAGATCTACGTCGCTCAGTTCCCTGTCCAATCCAAGCCAGAAATATAATCAAAAATTTCAAAAATTTATCAGTTGCTTGGTATACACACTCATTGTCGGGGCATACTGTTGTAGATCTGAAACCCGACATCGCTGATCGATGTGGGCTGACTACCATGGTGAGCCTGAAGTACTCCTTGGCGGTTCTATCTAATTCTAATCTCAACAAGATTCTTGAGGAGTGGGAAATGAAGCATGAAAGGAATGAATGCCCCACTGCTTTCACATCCCTGAAGTTGGATGAGATGAGGGAGCGCGTTCGGAAACTCAAAGCTTCTAGGTGGTCTGACTTGGTTGAGCCGGTTCTTGAAGAAAGTGCTGGGGTTGGTGGGGGTGGGTGTGTCAGTGCTCCGAGGAAACGTGTTCGCATTTAAGGTAGGTTCACTAATTGCTTTATATGATTTTCCCATATAGCGCTTTTGTTATGTTTCTATGCTGTTTACTGCCTTGAGAAAATCTGCCAAGCTGCCTTGAATATATTGCAACTAAAATCAACTGCTGGTGTTGTTGTTGTGTGATGCATTGGCAGCCTGTGGCAATGATATGTAATGGACGGGTGTTTCTGAACATGATATGTAATAATGACACAAGAATTAAGAGGAGAAGATGAAGATAACTAGGAATTTTTTTGTTGTTATATCTACCGGTTGTAACTGAAAAGTAAAGGTAGTCGGAGACTATTGAGTAGGTCCTCACTTTTAAAACAACCAAATGTTATAATAAAAAATTGTGTAATGATAATGATTGTCTTCCTCTCTTCCTAGATAGTGTTGGTATTTATACTGCTCAGTGAAACTCCTTACTGCCAGCTAATGTTGATTACTCCTTCACGGAGTAACTATTTCTGGTTGATTCTGTCTCCCCTTTCTTAAGAGCATACGTCCTTGGCGTGTGTGAGAGTGTTGGACCGTGATCCTTGGGATGAAAATGTTACTTAGTGAAGAAATTTGATCTGACTCTGAGATTATTTTTTCTTATTTTATATTGTTTGTGAGTCTATTGTTCTACGTAATCTTTCTTAATGAAATTTGAGTTATGTTCAGTGTGCTGGATTTTCGTTCCTTCGAAAAAGATTGCGTGGTGAACCATGGGGTTTCTTGCATGATCTTTTACGGTAACACAATGACTTGTGATATTGGGGTTGACTTAGAACCTTTTCTTCTTCTGTTTTCTGTCTTTTCTCTTTGCCGTTTGTTTTGGGTAGATTTGTGTGGTGCAAATGTTGCTACTATAGTATACATTGTGTTGTTCCTTTGAATTATTATAGTGGTCGCTGTCGTTGTCTAATATTGATTTAACTCAAACCATTCAGGCTATCTTCTTTCTTATTCAGGCTTCGATGATAAGGAGCTAGTTTTTGTTATGACTTACCTTGTTTTTTGTATGCTAAACAAAGTTTCAGGTCACTCATTTTGCAGACACCTTATTTGGACCTTTGGGGTTATACGTTGACTTGCATGTAGTACCTATCCTGCATAGAATAATTGGGGATTGAAATCCACATCTTGCATTATGTAAGTGGGGTTTGATACCTAGCTTAATATTTTCTCATTAGGCATTCATGACTCATCTAGCTCTTGAGGGTTGCTGCACATTTTTGTGAGCTTCAGTATATCTGTGTTTTGTGTTGTAGTACAGTTCCATTCATCATAGCTTTGTATTCCAACACTATTTCTGCCACCATTCTCCTGAAATTGTCGAGGTAAGGGTTTTCAGCCAAAGAGCATCAATTTGAAATGGTCGTGATCTGAGTCATAACCGATATATTTGTTGGAAGAATTATCCATCTTCATCGGCACACCAAATATTTTTTACATCATGACTTAAAATCATTTCAGTCTAGAAATTCCTTTACATTGTGTGATTATAACATTCTAGCTATACCATCAGTTGTAATTCAGCTTGGAGAGCCCGCTCTTGTTCATCTCTTAATTCATGCATGTTTTTCCCCATCAGAAAACTAGCTCGGCTGCCCTAGAAGTTGCAAAATTGAATTTAGGTTGAGTTGCTTTGCCATGTGATTTCTTTGTAACCGGTGGTGATGATGATGGGCGAAGTTGGTTTGAGGCAATTTAAGGGGACTGTATTTTTGTTATGGGAATTTGATGATAATGTATGAAATTGGCTGGAGAGTTTTATTTTCATAACCTCATTTTCTGACCATAAACGAAGCTAATTCTGCATGTTCCTCGGTCTGCATGATTTTGCTTTTTTTTTTTTGGAAAAGTTTTATTCACATAGAAGTAGGCTATTTTGTGGAAGGTGTTATTTTGCTGAGTTGCAAGATGAAGGAAGCTAATCCCCATGCTCCCTTTCTTGGTTGAGTTGATGAGATTTTATTTGATCATCTTTTTAAATTTGTTCTTTGACGTGGATCTTATTGCAGAGTTCATGTTTACTACCTGGTGTGGATTGAGTCAACGCTGAGCCTGGAAGCAAACGGTGATGGTCTTCATTTTGTTTTGGAATTTGTAAAAGCAAATGGTGCACTATTCAGTTTATTATGGTAGTGGTTATAGTACACCAGTTCTGGTAGCCAGGATCATTGGTGAGGGTGACTTTGTGTAAAGGCAAATGGTGCTTTATTCAGTTGTTGGTACTGCTTATTGTCCATGGGTGGATTTGGAGGGTGCATATTATTCTTCTTGACACAGTGTGCAACTTGTGGTTGCAATAGTACCCAGGCTTTTGCTCGATCATGAGAATTACGTTCAGCTTCAGTACATATGTGTTTCCAATGCACCACACATGTAAATGCGGCAATTTTGACTTGTTTAGAAAAAATAAAAACAGAATATGCACAAAAATATGTGTGGCTAATCACAACTGCATAACTAATTTTTAAAAATTAAATTTGGCAGGGGTTTTCAAACATCTTAAAATTCATAAACAAACCTATGTGGGACTCGAACCCACCTCTTTGTGCCCATTGGAACACGACGCTCTACCATTGAGCTAATAGGCTGAAAATATGTGTGTGTGTGTGTGTGTGTATTATTTTACTAGTAAAGAAATTTCTACTTTTTAGTCAAACCATCTTTCTACTAAAAGAAATCAAAACTTGGTGTGTTTCCCTAATTTGGGGATGTGATCTATCACCTGAAATAAACACAAAATGCAGATTCAACAAGGCCCAGATCAACACAGGACTTCAACACCCTGTTCTAGTGATGTGTACAAGGTTCTTGTAAAGAACTGAGAAGCAAAACAGCATGGTGAATTTCATCAAACTTTGCATATGAAGGCGCCAGCAGTGAAATAGCAGCAACACTGAGTCTATGGCCATACGAAACGATTGAATATGCATGAAATTGCTTGCTTGAGAGTATATATAATTAAACCAGGTCCTCTATGGATAACAAATGTGTAATCCTGCACCAGCCATAAAAAAAGCAAAATTTTGTGTTTGATCTAAGGGTAACCGTCCAGCATAAATTAGAAATCAAAAACATTGAATCCATATGCTCAATCCAAAAAACTTTGAAGCCATACACTGAGATCAATATTATAGAGAAATCAGTAGCCTTTTGAACCATAGAACATATTTACCTTGTATTCAAACCAGCAAAAACATACTTATTCATACATCATACCATAATATTAAAGTCAACCGTAGCCATAGTCCCCATCAAAGGCAAAATGTACCAATGACTTTGCCAAATTTGAACAAGGTTTCCAAGGTCTACTCCAAAATCAAGTCAGCAAGCTGCAAAAGCAAAACCTAAACCAACAAAAATAAGAACTTGATGCAGTTGTGCAACAACAAAGACAATATATTAATCCCAAAGCAAGAACATCTAAACAACTATCCTGAAACAAAGATCAATAACAAGAAAATGATAATTCTTAGGGCTGGTAATACAGCCCAGTTCTGTAGTACGAGCAAAAAATCATGACACCATTTGACAAAAAAAACTCAAAGACCAAGTTGACACTACCATATTAAAAAACAACCAAACTACAGGCTTGATTCTAAGAGCCGACAATATCCATGACAGTTCCTATCACATGCAGACACTAGTTAGCTCTTATAGTGTATTTTTGTTAGCCAATGGGTCCAGTCTCGTTTCCAACAATATACTGTTGGCAATAAGCAGTAAACAAAATGCATTTGAAATTTCTTAAAAATCACAAAGATCATCTCTTGTACAACACAAATGATAGTATGGCGTAAAGACAACTAGCTAGAGATGCACCTCTAGGTTGAATTACAGAAGAAAAATTTTAGAGATTCAATAAACAACAAATAACGATATAAGAATCATCTACTTATTTAACTATGAAATCGAAACTAATTTCATATACATTAACAACTAGTTCACAGCACCAACTTATAGAGATTATAAATTACTAATCTTAACCAAGGATTAAGAACTAACCTTAATTAAAAGTTATCAATTAAATACAAAATCATATACTACCTCCGTCCCACTCTCTTTGTCCACTTTTGACTTTTGGAACTGTTCATCTAAGCACTTTGACTCATCAAATTCTCTCAATGTGTAAGCCTAAATATAGTCATGTGTGATCTTGTTTGATTTGTCTTAACATATAGATTATTAATATATAATTTCTATAATTTTTTAATATACAAATTAAATTACAAGATAAAATGGATTAAAGAAGTGCATTGGATGATGTGCCAAAAGGTAAGTGGACAAAGACAGTGGGACGGAGGGAGTAACAACTTATCGTATAAGAAATTAGATTCCAAAACAGAAACGAAATCAATCAATACAAAGGATTAAAGATAATTTCAGAATTCTTCAAGCGAAAAAAACATATAGAGTAAAAAATACCCCTAAAAATATAAACTAAGCACAAAATTAATACATAAACAAAGAGGGAAACTAAAGAACTACAAATAGATTATACCCTTAAAAACACGCCTGGGCGTTGAATTTGGATTCGTCTATGTTGCTCGACATCACCAGACTCCCAGCATTGGTCTCCAGACTGATGTCCTTTTTGTTCTTCCAGCCCTGGCCTCAAATATCTGTCTCATCCATTTCAAGTACCCTCACCACCTTACTATAGACTGTCTCCACCCCAGCTTTGTTCCTCTTTCTGAATGGAATGTCATAGACCCTCACCCAAAAATCAACAAAAGAAAACCATATTCCCTCTGGTTGTTCATTACCACCCAACTCCCTAATCAGAAGCAAATAGCCGTCAAACACCAATGGTCCCGTCCTCAAAACACTCAGCTTATCCTCTAGAGAGAATAACTGGAATACCAACAGATTTTTTATTACTTCTCTAATGAGGAGGTCTTTCTGTGGTTTCCAAGCCGCCCTTAAAACATTCTTCATGGCTTTGGCATTGAACGGGTTTGTTGTCAGCAATTTACCCACCAAACAGTCCTGAACATCCATTTCTTCACTTGGGATCTCATCAATATCTGGCATGCCTTCCTCGTCTCCGGTAAGCTTCAATTTGTGCCAATTTCTCATTAAACTGTCCTCCATCTCTATCAAGTAATGATTGCCAACAGGGTGAATGAAAAGATAAGCAACGTCGAATCCCAAAGAGGAGACAAATCACCAAAATTGACCTGCACCAAGGAACCCTATTAGCAACAAGAAACAGTAGAAAGATCACACAAGACAACCAACCCAGGGGTAGGAAAGAGAAGACAAAAGACAGCCCTCACTGAGAGAAATTCGGGATTGAAGAAAGGTTACAAACCCTAGGCCTGGGGGAATCCTATCCTAGAGTGAGAGAAAGGAGATCAACCGGAAAATTGCTTGGTTCATTCCTTCTCCTTCTTCAGTTTTGGGAAGAGAATCAAGATCCAATTCTCTCTCTTTTCTCCATCTAATTATAAAAGAAAGCGTTAATTTCGGAGCTAAGGTTGTGCTTGATTTAAAAAAAAAAGAGAAAAAGTTGGCTCGTTTATTTTAGCATTCAATTGCATGCTATTCGTGACGTGAAGCTTTTAGGTGGGAAGCTCTTACAAAAATTCACCTACTTTTAAATATAAATATTTTTTTCACCAGAAAGTTTGTTGTATGATCAATCTTCTAAATCTCAAGACAAATATAGGACATTTGTTCTAAAGCATATAGAGTATAAAACTTTTGAAATTCTAAACCCTAAGTTGTCCAAGAGTTCACAAAAAATGCTCATCCATAATACTCCATAGTCATTGACTAAGAAAGCCCGAAATCAGATTGCCCAATGAGTTCTGGCAACTCACCCAATGGAATATGCCTCTCGGAATACAGTGGATTTGCAAATCCATCAAGCAAAGTTCAAAAAATTCATTGAAAAGTCCGCTCAAAAAGGCCAACAAATTATTAGCGCAAACCTTAACATGCTGCTAGGATTTACTGTTCTTACTTCGTCCATTTTCATTTATTCTGGACAAATCTCATGTGTAACCAACGGCGTGAAACAAAGGACAATTGCCATTGAATAAAGAGGAAAGTTTTAACCATCTGACCAGTACCGCAGAATTACTAAGATTTAAATCAAAATCCATATAAATTGATAGTAGTAAAAGGTGTCCAAGCCATGCTTCTAAGCAAGTAGCCGCTGGGCCTCTAAAATTAAGACAGCACAATGCAAGATGTGTTTATGGCTAAGAAGAAGGATCTTCATATGATGTTTATTGACCTTGACAAGGCGTATGATAAGGTACCAAGGGAGCCTCTGGAGGTGTCTTGAGTCAAGAAGAGTTCCGATTGCATACATATGTACAACGGGGCAAGGACTAAGGTGAAGACCGTCAAGAGTGACTTTGAGCTTTTCCTTGATTCCAAGAGACTGAGACTGAGTAGGACAAAGACTGAATATATGGAATGTCATTTCAATGGTCGGGAGACGGAACTAGGGGTAGAAGTTATGATTGATTCTCACCTAGTGCCCAAGCTAGACAAGTTTCAGCATCTGAGCTCGGTCATTCAGGCAAATGGGGAGTTGGACGGGAATGTTGTGCATCGTGTTGGAGTAGCTTGGGCTAAGTAGAGGTTGGCTTCAAAGGTGTTGTACGATAAGAAGTTCTTGGCTAGAATGAGAGATAAGTTTTAATGGTCCGTAGTCAGACCAACTATGTGTATGGAGCAGAGTGTTTGGCGGTTAAAAAACCCACTTTCGTCAACTACATGTTACAGAGATGCGTATGTTATGGTGGATGAGTGGGCAAACAAGGTTGTATAGGACTCTGATCAAGATTAACCGAAGACAGGTAGGCATGGCACCTATTGAAGATAAGTTGCAGGTTATCTTTAGTGCGTTCTCATCTGAGGTTGTATCTGTGCTCTATTATCTCCTATGATCTTTTGTCTGTTTTATTATCTTATGTTATATTATCTCCTGGGATCCTTTTATTTATGCAGCTCGAAAGAGCCCCTCTGTTTTCGAGTAGGGGCAAGGTTTGTGTACACACACCCTCCCAAACCCAACTCTCGTGGGATTTAACTGGGTTGTTGATTCATAACAATCAACACGCACGTGCTATGCAACTCGAACAAAAATTTGGTACGACAATCAAAGGCTCCATGTCAATTTCCTTCTATTGCCAAACACTCAAGAATGTGGCAGATTGATTGGATGATGTTCATGTGCTCGTTTAAGTTCAGATCCTCAATTTGTGGTGCAATTGCTTGGTGGCCTATCAGACAATCTCCTGCCCTTCTGGTCCCCGACCCAGCAGCTCACCCAACCCATACCCAGCCCAATTCTATTACACTCACGCAACTCCACCCAATTCCAATCCATTTGACCAGTTTGGTTACCCGACACCCTGCCCCAACCAGCTCACCTATCCCACACCCTATCCGCAACCCACCCCCTCCCGCCCTTACCTGCACCCAACCCCCACCAGCCACTTTAACACCATGTCTCTTCATGAACCCACGTGGCTCCGTGGGCACCAGAGTTTCTCACCAAATCGCAACTGACCTAGGTACTCTGTCTCATGAATTTTTCTCAAAGTTTAAATTCACCATCACATATATCATTGTAGGTAATGGATCTAAAGTTCACACCATATCTATTAGTACTCATTTGTTCCATACTATCTACGACATAAATCTGATGTATTCTATCATCTTATCAAATTTCTCGCTTATGTTCAAAATCAATTTAAAACATTTGTAAAATCACTCCTTAGGTCTATTTTTCCTCTCTTGGCATTACCTTCCGCAACCACCACCCCTGCAACCCCCTACCTTCCCTACGTCCAGCATCTCCCCAGACACCCCTGGCCAAGCCAATCTCCCCCATCACCCACCTCACTTCACGGTCCACCCACCCAGGCCGCAGCTCAAAACCATCCAAACCCAAACACCCACCCTGTGATCACCGATTCCAAAGTCGGCATCTCGTGCCCAAAACACATTCTCAACCTCAACACCACTGCCGCCATCTCTCCTCTACCCCCTACTTATCGTAGTGCACTTAAAGATCTTAGCTCGTAAAGTGTTATGTATGATGAAACTAGTCCTTGGTCTTGCTCTCTCTCGGGGCTGGCCTATCCATCACCTCGATGTCAAGAATGTTTTCCTTCACGGCACACTTTTGGACAGAGAATGCAAGTCAGACACTTTGGGACCAAGAATGCTTTTCTTCATACTCTGGGCTCCCAAGAATGCAAGTCAGGCACTTCACGCTTTACCTTTGGCCATGGGGCAGACATGGCCTTCTTATTTCTCTATGCTGATGACATTGTCCTCAATGCATCGTCTTCCTCCCTCCACCGCCAGATCACTCAGCGTTAAAATGGAATATTTTCCATGATTGACATGGAAGATCATCACTTCTTTCTAGGCAACAATGCTCAGCGCGCCAAGGATGGCCTCTTTCTAACCCAAACACAGACAGTTCGGACATAATATTCTTGAGCGAGCAGGCATGCTCGACTGGAAACCCATATCCACCCCTAACGATACACAGGGGAAATTAGTCTCTGGTGCCCGACCCTTCTCTCTATCATTCCATAGTGGGAGCCCTTCAACATCTCACATTTACTCGCTCGAACATCACTTGTCGTACAACAACATTGCTTTCACCTTCATAATCCCAAGAGTCCTTATCTATCGGCAATGAAATATGTGCGTCCGTATCTTCAAGGCACAACAACTCATACTATTACTCTCTCTAGTCTCTAGCTCAGGAACTGATTTCTTACAGGCTTACTTGAACGCTGATTTGTTGCGTGTTTCTTGGGGACAATCTTATGTATTGGTCTTCTAAGAGACAAGCATAGTTATTAATGGCGAGTGCCAAAGGGCAGAGGAGAGGATATTTTTATAGCGCAAGGTGTGGCGAGAATATAAATAAACTCATGGGATACGCAAGAGTGAATCGATGCAGACACGGAGTGAATTGAACGAGAGAAAGCTTTGCCCTACTTGCGACTGTGTGCGAGATCCACTCGAGATGGCGAGGGAGATGAATTGATTGAAGATGGTGATGCTTGATGGAGAAGAATCACAGGTTGTGGAAGAGCTGGAGACCATCTCTCGTGTGCCTCAGGTAAATTGCCACCCCACAGCTGGTTACGGCAATGGTAGCTCGCCTCTGCGCCACAGGTGCAAAAGCATAAATGGTGCTCGCCATTAACATAGTTGTGAAAAGTGCACCTAAGACGCGCATCAAGCAAGGTGCAGGGCTCTGTGCATTCTTCGTGGTGATGCGGGTGATGTACGTTATGCAAGCGCATACCTGCACATCAGCCCAATAAGCGATGCAACTGGATGCGATAAAATGTGAACATCGCAAACATAGATTAAGTTTTTTATTTTTAAATTTTTTAAGACTTGAACCAGCCCAAACTTTTTCTTGTCTGCATCGTCTCTAAACTTCTTTCTACAGCTTTGTTTCTTTTACCACTTCATCGCTAGGGCTTATTCTCTCTAGATCGACTTTGCTTCCTCCATGCATCGGTTTTCCTTTTGCTCTCTTCACATTTTCTATTTGCTAGCTTCACATTTTAGGTTCTTTTGTTTTTTTTAAATTGCGAGGCTTCCCCCTTTTTGGCTTGTCACTTTAATTTTGTTTCTTCCCGTTCAAACACGACCCTCTTTGGACTTTGTTGCTCGCCTGCTTCACATTTCAGCTTAGTAAGTAAATGGGTTCTTTACTTTTTTAAAACTGTGAGGCTTCCCCTTTTTTGCTTATCTCTTACTTTTGTTTCTTCCCATTCATATCCAATATTTTGACATAGAAGAAGAGAGACTCTTGAGGTTTCTCTCATTGTTTGATGTTCCACAGCTCATTGTTTGTTTCTTGCATGTTCTTTGTTTTTTCTACTTGCTGCCTTTGTTCTTTGAACTTTAGGTTTTTTTTTATGTTAATGATACTATGTGTGACTTTGATTCTTGGTTGCTTTCTCAAATTTTATTATGTCTTTCAAAATAATATACTGTGTATGTATTGTTGCTAATTTACCAAGTTTAGATCTACTATGCTACTTCTCCCTAATTTGCACCTCATGTTCGCGTTCTTCATGTCTCTTCACAGTATGCTGACATCTTCACTAAGGGACTTCCATCCCTCCTCTTTATTGATTTCAAGAGCCTTGGCATTCGCTCCATATCACCCATGTAGCCGAGAGCATGTTAAATATCTTCTGCATAGATTTAATTCTATATAGTAGTTACCCATGTATAGGAATTTGTTATGCTATGTATGGTAGTTAGCTTGCATAGGGGTTTTCTATTATATAATTCCCAACATAATTAGGATTCCACTCATGAATACATAGAGGATTTTTTCCTTGTAATTAATCATCGAATATAATTATTCATTACAAACCTAATAATGATGAAGATGTGTCATCAAGGAGACGTACTCACAACAGCACTACGGTGGGTTAAGCTCACATTGGTAACACCTCACAATGATGTATGGTGTCTATTACTCCCTCCGTCCAAAAATTTCTTTCTCGTTTTGACTTGGCATGGGAGATTAAGAAAAGTTAAAAAGTGTAAAGGCTTTCCATGTTTGTCCTTGGAATTGCAGGTCTCTCACTCCTAAATTTGAAAGTCCATATAAAGTACTGCCTATAAATACGGACTGAAAGATTGTGCCAAGAACTGTTCTAGAGAGGTTCTTTTATGCATGTGTTTTGCACCAGTAAAACATACTAAAATGACCTTTGAAGGGAAATTTCACTAATCCCAATATATTATCTTGCTAACGATATGGATCTATGAATGGGTAGCAAGGTGTATTTCTTATAACTCATTCAATGATTAGGTACTCAAAAGTGGCATACTGAAACTATTTATAATGACGTGAAAAATTCCAAGTAAATTAATGAGTTCACTGAAATGTGTATAAGCAGACTGAGCGCCTGATTGCAGTGAAATGGGTATAAGAGCAATGAATTGAATTGGGGTCCTGACCTGCTCCAGTGCTAATGCCATTAGGAACATGTCTGCAAGAAATTTAAGCTGCATATATGAGGAAAGGGAAGATGATAAGATGTATGATATCTGGGCCTAAAATCTGCAGCAAAGACAAAAATACAAGGAGGTAACATGTATACAAGGATGTGTGCACTGAATTAAAAAAACAAATAACAACATGATCAACAAACAAGTTGGAGCATAATAGATCATAGAAGGAGTTGTAATCCATTTTAATCGGTCCCCCACAATGCGGTTGTTTACCACAAATGTAGGTCTTTACTGGATGCGGGAAAAAAAACAAATGTGAAATGCCTTGAGGAGGGAGATCAAAATTATGTCTTCTTTTACTTTTCTGTTAAAGGAAAAAAAAAGGTGATAAAACACACCATCCTTGGCTTAAGAAAGGAAGATGGTGGCTAGCTAGAAAACCAAGGGGACATCCAACATTCCAACTGCACTGCATCAAAAATTACACATCTCTATATAAAGAAGAAGAGGTTATACACCTCTCCCTCTTACAGAAGCTGTTTGAACTATCTGGTCAGAGGCTGAATAATCAAATCATAAGGAGACTACCTGAGGATATGGAAATCAAAAACCACGGGGGGTATACCCTCTCTCCACCATAGATCTTCCCAGTCACTATTCACAGGATCAAACTTTACTCACTTTGTTTGTTCATTTTTACTAGTCATTTCATAAAATAATATAGTCTTGTCACCTCTAGTTTAGTAGAACCTTTCATGTAGTTCATTACTCCGTACTATATAAATTTTATTTTAAAATTTTACTTCTATAATCAATTAAATTTAATTGAAACTAAAGCGCTTCGTAACGCGTAATGGGAAGATCTTAGGTGGACGAAGGAATATATAATTTAAATTATACGGAGTAGATTCATAGTGAGATGGTAATGGTTATTATCCCTAGGACAGAGGCTCAAAGATCATTAAAAAGTATGCACCATAACAGCATCCAATTGTTTTTTATTTACCATTGGTTTGTTGGATTAGCAACATAACACTCCTTCTCTACAGTGTTTACCAACCATGTTTTGTCCAATCCCTACACTTTTACAGCTTGCTAAGATGTGTGCATGGTGGCAGCGAAGCCAGTTGTATATGCAGGCAAGAAATTGAACTTTGAAGAAATGCAGTAAATTTGAACTCCGCCGTGTTGATGTTTGCTTTTGGTGTTGCCGTGTTGAACTTGAAAAAGGCAGTTAAACTTGACAAAGGGTATTCGAACTAGAGAAAAGCATGTGAACATGAACAATGCAATTTGAATTGGGAAAAAAAGTTGAACGTGAACAAGGAATTAGACGAATTAAGACTCAAATTTTAGACGAAGTAAGACTTAAATCTGACTTTTTGCAGTCCCTTGGCTTCTCATACCTAACGCTGGGCAAGGGAGAGAGAAAGAGGGACGAAGACGGAGGGAGACGGAGAGCCTAAACGGTGACGGAAGGTGGGAATTAAATGAAAAGAAAATCCGGACCGTAGATGTGTTTTGAGGTGAATCCAACTATCCAAGGGTCCATGATACTAACACTACGTTTGGTTCAAAAGATCTGAAAGGGAAAAGAAAAGAAAATGAAGTGGAAAACCATTTTTCTTGTTTGGTTAGAGGGGAAAAGAAAGGAAAAATGGAAGGAAAAGAAAATGAGGAGGCAAAATGTACCAAGTGGAAGGAAAATCAAATTCCTTCCATTTTGGTGAGGAAAATGAGAAAAAATCATTTTCTTTTCTTTTCCTTCCAAAATCCTTGAGTCAAACATGGTGTAAGAGTCAGTTCTGTCGGACTTATTTTTTATACTATTATTTAGGCCCCGTTCCGTTTTTATACCAGATCAAATCGAATCAAATCAAATCCAATCAAGAATTATTATTGTTGTTGTTGTTGATGTTATTATTATTATTATTATTATTCTTAAAAATAAATAAAAATACTTTAGAAATAAGTTAAATAGAAAACAAAGAAAATAATATTTAATTATTAGACATCGTAAAAATTATTTTATTTAGTAGGTGTATGTATTTGAATAAATATAATCACACTAATTCCATTTAAATGATTTATAAACAAATATGAAGTACAGAGTATAAAAAAATTTTATAAGTGAGGAGATTGTTTTAATTATTATTTAACTTTTTTTATATTTTAATACAATTTTAGTCTAGCCATATCATGGGTTTTAAAATTTCAATGTGGTTATTAAAATATATTTTTTGTTTTTATGAAAGATATTTAGATGTGAAAAAAACATCTTCCTCATTACTTAAAACATTTTTTATAAATGAAGAGTGAGAAATACTATATTGAATTGAGAAAGAGTATAACTCTGTATTATAAAATTGAGTGTTTCCCTTGCATAATTAATTTTATTCAAGGATTTCATACCGAAACATCCAATTCATTAGAATGTAACTCACTTTATTCAAAGATTTTATACCAAATCATTGTCATAAAACCAATGTTTCCCATAGGCCATAGCAAATCTTTAATTCCTTTTTTCAACTTCAACTCCAATAGGTAAAACTTGAATTACATTTTTAGGTATTAAAAATTTAAAAAAAAGAACTTAAATAGAAAATGAAGGGATAAGGCCATATCCATCCACTCATTCTCATTCACCAAAGCCTGCGTTTACTCGCCAGACACCATCCGAAGGATAGACCAGGGCTGTGGAACACTTTGCATCACGCGTCCGGCGGCGTTTAGGTATACGGCGATACACTGGTAAATGACTCCATTCTTTCAATCCTAGCCTCGTTAACGTTTAATCAGTATTTTTGTGTGTTTAATATGAATATTTGGAGCTTGAATTTGAATTTATCCATTGAATTCAGTTGTTGCACGAATCTCTCCAAATTCGAGATTATAAAGCTCGGGTTTCTGTCTGATTTTGCGTGATTATTCCTTTCAATTTGATTCTTACTCTTCATCTCAGAGTCAAAATGAATTTTGGAATCCGGGATGCCATTGATATGAAAATGAGTGAGTACTCTGAGTAGAGTATAACTTAATTTGATGTTTGAGTTATGAAACCTTCACCTCTGAAATTTATACTAATAAATTGAAAAATAGTTTTTTAATAAATTGAAAAATAGCTTTTTTTAAAAAATGCCTCATTATCATGAAAAAAACACTTCCGAGCATAAACTTCTCCAGTTTTCCTATAGGAAATAGGATCGTATGCATGAATTAATCTTAATTTAAGATGGGCACGAAATGGGAAGGGGGATTAAAACTAACAAAATATGGTTGTATGGCTTAGTGGAGTGTGTAAGATTTGAAGGATATTTATACTTGCACTCCAATGTAGTGGGTTACATGTGTTGGTGCGTTAATAAAAATTTACACGAACGCAAAATGTTGGTGCATTAACAAAAAATAATTTTACACCAACACAAAATTTTAGTGCAAACCTCTGTTGTAAAAATGGGGTAGAAAAGGTCGGTACAAATAACTTTATCCTTTCAATTAATGAGAATAAAAGCATATATTCATTTAATTTTTTTAAAATATCCGATGGTACCAAAGGCATAGAAGGTGTAACACTAAAGCATTATACACACACACACACACACACAGATATATATATATATATATATGAGATTGACTCCAGTGAGATGACACCTTACGGTGCGTTGACATGCTTCGGTCAGATGACGCAAAGCTCACCACACTAAACTACAAAGCTCACCAATGGACAATGCAAAACTTATCTAGAAATAAAGCAAAGTTCACCACCTTGAACCACAAACTCACCTTTTTTTTAATTTTGAAAATTAAAAAATTAATTAAAAATAAAATAGCAACACCAGTCAACCTCCGGTCAACGGCGGCGGCCAGAGTATGGTAGCGGCAGTGACCGGCGACTGGCGGCGGCGGTGACCGGCGACCGGCGGCGGAGACTGGCGAACGGCGATGGCGGACGGTAACTGGCGACCGGCGGCGGCGGCAGCGGGCGGCGACTGGCAGCGGTCAAAGCTGGAGTCAACGGTTAAAGTCTAGTCAGCAACTCTTCCTTTGATTTTATTTTTTCAAAAAAAATTCAAAGTGTTGAAAAAAATATGGTGAGTTTTACTTTACAGTTTGGTGAGCTTTGTAGTTGTGCTTGGTGAGCTTTGCAGTGGCTAGTGGTGAGCTTTTCGTCATCTGGCTGTAGCATGTCATCTCACCGTAAGGTGTCATCTGACTGGAGTCAATCCCTATATATATATATATATATACACATTAATTGTTAATTTTGTTTTCCATGTATTTTTCTTTACAAAAAACCATATATTGTTTTAGAATACAACATTTCATTTTTAAGGATGAATGTAACTATTAGTGAGTAATATTATAGATTTATTTAATTAGTAGATGCATTTATAACAATTTATAATATTGTTGTGTATAACTAAGGCTCCGTTCCGTTCAACTTATTTTTTATGATCTGATCTGATTTTAATAAGTTCTGATCTGATTGGATATGATCTAATATGATCTGATCTGATTGGATCTGGTCTGGTCTGATCTGATTAATTATGATTTAATTTAAAATTTTAAATCAATAATTTGATTTGACTTTATAATAACGTTTGAAAATTGTAATGATAATTCATATTATAATATAATCAATATTTTTTATTTAATGATTATTTTTTAATAAAACAAAAATAGTTAATACATATATTAGAATAATCATTCATATTATAATGTAATAATATTTTTTATTTTATGATTATTTTTTTTGTGAAATTAGAATATTAATTTAATATTTTAATAATTATTTTATATATACATTAGAATAAATATTTAATTTAGATGTACATTTAAAAGTAATTAAATTTAGATAATCAATATATAGAAGAGAAAATTTTTATTAAAATATCTCATCCTTATAAAAGATCAAAACTTTAGAAACTCAAATTAAAAGTAGGAATAAAAATATATTTTAAAAGTAGAATTAGATTGACATTGTCAATGTATTTTAAAACTAATTTTTCCGACGTCTAATAATTAAGAATTATTTTCTCAGTTTTCTATTTAACCTATTTCTAAAGTTTATTCTTTTTCATTTTTAAGAACAACAATAATAATAACAATAATAATAATAATGATGATGATGATGATGATGATGATGATGATGATGATGATGATGATGATGATAATAATAATAATAATTCTTGATGGGATCTGATTTTAATAAGTCATGATGTGATCTGATCTGATCTCATTGGATCTGATCTGATTTGATCTGATTGGATCTGGTCTGATCTGATTCGATCTGATCTGATCTGATTCGATCCGGTCTGATCTAATTTGATCTGGTTTGATCTGATCTGATTTTAATAAGAATACGAAAAAATAAGAAAAAATAAGTTGAATGGAACGGGGCCTAAGTGGTGAACGCCAATTATATTAAATTGTATTACAAACAAATATCATTGTAACAACTATAACCATATTATAAACTTATTACTGAAACATAGTCGTTTTTTGTGAATCAAAGCTGACAACTTTTTCAAAGCCTCTGTTGGAAAATAATAACTTTAAAATAGAAAGTTGAAATTTTAAAATTAAGCATATTTTTTATTACACTTGATGTTTTTATCTTACATCTTACACACACACACACACATATATATATATATATCTCCCCTAATATAATAAGGCTCAACTTTGTTAAACCCCTTAACTTTTGGTCTTTTTTCCGTCCAAAATGAGGCGGCAGAGCATTAGGCCCGTCCTTTTCCCGTCAATACCTCGTTTAGAGTTAACGGCAAACTAGCATATGGTCCATATGCATATTAATTGTAGTAGACGCGTGGAGCACTATCGTCCACAAAAAGAACTCAATCAATAAATCAATTCTTATCTTCTTTCATTTTCGAATTTCGACTTTGATGACCAAATATTGCAGTAATTTTAACGAGGTAAAATTCATTTTCCTAAACCTTCTCTTTCTCTCTTCTTTAAATTCTTTCTTGAGCAATGCTAGAGGTACACCAAAGGTGTACCTCATTTGTCCCCCACTCATTCTTATTTAATTTTTATTTATTTAATTTTTTTAAAATATTTTCCCATTTATGTGGCGGAGGAGGAGGTGGGGGACAAATGGGATACACCTTTGGTGTACTAGCATTTTTCTTCTTTCTTTTATGTGCAAATATGAATGGTTTGCTATTGTGGAATGCAGTCAATGCACAATATTTAATTTCAATCAATCACAATTGCTGTATTAGGGTTTTTTTTATAAAAATGGCTACAGAGCTAGAGATTGAAGAATGAAGATGGCTGCGCAAAAAGCATCATCCAATCTGAACGATAAGGTAATTAGTCTTCTCCTTCTTCATTTTGTTCTCCCAAACCCAACTTTAACAATCAGTTTTTTTTGTTGTCAATCAAAATTTAATGGAACTCTCATTCACTTTAAAAACAAAAAATCTTGTAACTTCAATTATAACAATTCATATGAAAAAGTTGTGGGATGGATAGGTAAGCAAGTACTTTTATGTTTTTTCTATCAACACAAGGAGTATTTATTTTATCCACATATATACTCTGTATTTTTTTATCATTTTATTTTTTGACAATATATATTTTCTCTTAGAAAGAACTCTAAATTATTGATTTTCATCCTAACTTATTGTATTACGTTTCTTATATTTTCCTACACTAACTTGGGAAACGCTACTTTGTGAGAACAATTAGTCTCTAAACTTGGCTTATTGAAAAAAAACTGTTCTATACTTGTATGCAACTTGGCTTATTGACAATTAGTCTCTAAGCACTCAAATCTTTTTTGCAGCTTTGACATTTTTTTCTACTTCAATGAGGTTAGCAGAAATTGTATGTACATAAGTACATTTGACACAGCTGTGTTTGGTTGTTACTTGGGCCATATATTTACATACTGCTTACCATGAGGGAGTAAAAATTTATGAGTACATACTTAGTAGTTGCTACGTGCCTACGCCTACTTGAATAGAGGATTGTTGTTGAATAGGATGCTTGATTGATTTAATTGCAGGGAGGTCTACAACGTTAACTTGGGTGGGATAATTCTTACAAGTGCTGGGAATCCAACAAATCTGCATGGATCATTCATTCTATCCCAATTCCATGAACTTACATAAGACCAATGGTGCTATTTTACAATTCCCCTCTCTGAATGTGCACAAGACTCATGTACATGTACACCTTTTCTAAGAAACTAAACACCTACCACTGCAATTGAAATATATGTAAACTTTAGAGAGTTGAAGTTGTTTCGTGCATATTTTTTTAACACAAGTTGTAGAACTTAATCTGGAACTCCTTTTAGACACCATACAAAGTCATACATGTTAAATTTCATAATTTTCTTTAAATGTTGGGCACCAAACGCACAAAGTGCGTTTCATGCTAGTATATCTTATAAATGTCTATCATGGTTAGGTACCCTCAAATTATTTTGTAGTTTTTCCGTCCAAATTACATGTACCCATAGGCTCTTTCGTTGTACTGAGCTTTACTAATCACAAACTACCCTTACGGCGTTACTGCTTGCTCTGATGGTGACTCGCTTGAAATCTCTTCCTCTTGCCCAGCATCCTGTCTTCCCGATGAAATAGGCGTAATTGCCGCCTGTCCCTCAGCAAAGGATTATAATCCTTGTGCGATTGGAATCATAATCATCCCTGGATTTCCGGAATTTCTGCGTTGCGTTACAGACACTAGGCAATTACATGAATACACGGATTTGCTGGCGATGCATCACCAAACAAAATCGTAATAACAAGCTAATTCTAGCAAATATGCAGATTCGCCGGTATGAATGAAACGTTTTGTCTGATTTCTTCTATTTATGGTACCTTCTCTTAATAACCCCCGCCCAATTATGTCAGCACGGACGTTCTTATTTCAAAATCTTCTAAAGGGGCTATTTATATTCAATTTTGAGAGATGGGACGAGGCACCATCTTCAAGAATCCTCCTAGGTATAATCTTATGAGTTATTTCGCTTCTTATTTTTGTTGTTTGTTTCTATTATTGCAAGTCAAGATTCAAGAAGGATAATTTTTGACGTACAGGTACGGCCGAACCTGAAACAGGTTAGAAGATCATTCTTCAGGTAATTTAAAGTATATGCATTATTTTCACAGTTTAGCAACCACAATTATATGCACAACTATTATTTTTAATCCTATGTATTTCTACTATATTGCCTGCTACTGACATAAAGTACTCAGTAGTTTGATTATTTAGGATTATTTGTTGGTAAAGAAATGCATGTGCTCCAATTCTTCGGATTGAAAGTAACAAACACTCTTCCAATTGGTATAGTTTGTACCTTCACTTAATAAATTGCCATGCCTAAATGACATTATGTATAAGGGCCCTTTTTGAATGGAGGAAAATGATTATTTAATTTAAATTATATGCATTATTTTCACAGTGTAACAACTATAATTTTATGCACAACTGTTATTTTTATATCCTATGTATTTCATACTTTTGCCAACTATTGCCTGCTGTTGACATAAACTGCTCAGTAGTTTGATTATTTAGGATTATTTGTTAGTAAACACATGCATGTGCTCTAATTTTTTTGCTAGATAGTAACAAACACTATTACAATTGGTATAGTTTGTACCTTGACTTAATAAATTGCCAAGCTTGGATGACATTATCTATAGGGTCCTTTTGGAATGGAGGAAAATGATTTCTGTCAAAAGGAAAATCTGGTCTATTATAGAGAAAATGACTCCCGCTTTTAAAGTCGGATGGTCATTTACCCTGTTGATTATCTGTTCTTCGCTGCTTAAAATCCCATTTTCCCTGTCTTTTCTTCCCTTGTCAAAATCCTCATTTTCTTCACTTGTTCATCCCTTCTTCTCTCTTTCTTGTATTAAAGCAGTAATAGAATACATTTAGTAAAGAATGATCAAATTCAGACTTGGAAGAAATTCATTACTTTCTTTGAACATTCTGCACAGTAACTTGCAATCTTGTGAGTATAGAGAAAATATTATTTCTCTGTTTTTTTATTATGGCGTGTTTTATAACTAAGAATTTTCCTGTTTATCAAATCTTTAATTGTCTAAAACTATTCCCCTAAAACTTCGGATTTTGTTTTAATGCTGTTTTAATTCAAGATTTATTAAATTACTCATAATGCGTGGATTATACTTTTATTCTTAAGCAAAACATTATATGCTATCATATGACAGTAATCCAAGAGCGTATTGAATTTATTGAAACCAGTTTTTATAAATAATTAAGTTATGGAGACAAAAATGATAAGTGGAATAAAAGACAACAAAAAGGAATGGAAATGCAAGGTTAGAGTTGTGGAGAAACGCAACATCCGAGACTCAAGGACGAGCCCCAACAAGTATAGGCCTTGTGTATTGCAGGATGAGGAGGTAAGTATATAAAGCGTATAAAATAAATAATGTTAAAGTGTATATATTACCTTTATTAATTATGTTTTATGCCACGTTTTCCACACAGGTTACCAAGGTTCTTGCTCTCGCAAACAGTGGTGCTATTCAACAAATTGATAAGATACTCGATCTAAAAAACACATACTACATAAGCAATGCTGCTGTCATGCCTAGCATGTATGGTGGTGATTCCCCATCAGTAGACTATAAATTCATCTGGATGTTGAGTAGAAAAACATGGATCGAGGTAGTCCCAAAATCAGAAGAAATTCAGGCAACGAATGAATCAGACACTATTTTCACACGGTTTTATGACTTCTATGACTTATGCGGGTCCAGAACACCAATTAGTATGTGAATAGTATTAATCTTCATTAACTGTACATACAAAAAACAAAATGATGTGATATCTAAACATTTTTTAAATAATGTTTCCTACATTTAGATTTCATGGCCGTTGCAATTCAGAGAATGCCTAGAGAATATGTCTCTGTTGGTGGAGATGCCAAAACTGCACATGATTTCATGCTTGTGAATGAAGAGTAAGTATGAAATACTAATTCTTTTTGCTTAAGATTTGTGTATATCTAACACTTTCAGTTTTATCCCGAAAAGCATGGAGCCGATTCTGTTGACTGTTTGGGAAGATTTTGCTATTAATCAAGGACGGGAAATAACATCCCTTTTAGAGAGTGGGCGACACCCATTAATTTTGGGTAAAAGGGTGACCGTTACTCCCTTCAATGGTAATGTGTATTTTCCGGAAAAATAGTTTAAGAACATCACAATGTTGAATATAAGCAGTTAATGTGAAAATATGGGCATTGAACAGGTGTGTCACTCTCCACAAGATATGATTCCCTACTTGAAGTTAATCCTTCAGATCCCATTTGTGAGCAGCTGAAAAAATGGTAATACTATATCTTCATTTTAATACCATATCATAGACATGACACACATGTGATTTTGTCTTATATAAAATGCATTACTAGGAGGGATGAAAGCTTGGAACTTATAGAGAGTTATATTGAAACAAAGGCATATAAAAATGCCTTAATATCACTAGCTTACCCGCCTGGGCGTCCGAAGGTCAGAATTGCCGACATATCTAAATCAAATTCCACGGTACACTTTGCACCTTCAAATTAAAGTATTGTAATTAATTTGTTACAAAATTCTGTAGAATAACATGCATATACCACGTTTAACCTTACATTTAGGGTAAAGGGTATGGGTTACAGCTGATATCAAAATCCTTGATAATGAGGCCATCTACTATATTGGATGTGATTATTGCAATTGGAAAACTACAGCACCAGGAGTAACTTTCAAATGTTTGGATTGTGGAAGTTTGTCAGCTAGGAGTGAGAAGAGGTTAGTTTAACAGAATTACATATTTTCAAAACCTCAAAATACATAGTATATGTTCAGATGGAATAAATTTCCTACACACCATGTAGGTACAAAATGCAAGTGCAGTTGAGTGATGAGACTGGTGAAATAGAGGGGACAATGTTTGATGAAGATTTCAAGCGCTTGTTATCCATTTCCAACATCGTTCACCGCTCTGGAAAAATAGACATTGCCCAACTTCAAACGAAGATCAATCTTATCGCATTTGATTGTGAATTGAGGTTCGATAACAAAAAATTTGAAGGGCCAAGTAGGAGGAGTTGCACAGTGAACGGGGTGTGCAAAAATATTGTATTGCCTGAGCGCATTATCAATGTCGGCAAGGATAGAGAAACAAATGCTGAAGTACCAAGTCGAAAATGATTGACATTTGATGAGAGTGATGGAAAGGATGAAGGAGTTGTCCATGCATCCCCTGGAGAAGAAACATCCCTTCAGAACTCAGCCAAAAAACAAAAAAAATAGAATTCATTGCCTTCTATATTCATTTTTAAAATACTTCTCATAAGTTTTTTAAGAGTATGTTGAAATTACTTTTTCCCCCTTCCCATTATTTCCAGTTAAACTTTCTGAAGTTATATCAAGTTATTTTAAGTTTCGTTTTTAACATCAGCATTTCAAAAGATGATTCACGCTGCATATTTATTTGTATACTATTCACTGTGAAACTTTATCTTGGAAGAAAGGGTTACATATTTTACGGCCCTCTGTGATGTTACATGTTAAAAACGATTTCACAAGTCTATTGTCATTAGCGGGAAATATATGAAATTAATTGAATACAATAATTTTGATATCCCAGGTTATAAAAGATATAGAATGTGTTTTGCCTTGTAATTTTCAGAGATACAAGTGTGACAGGCATCTATTTCTTTGCATATGTTTATCTCGCTTGTATCTTAGGAACTGTCATAGCCGTGGGTTGCCCTTTCACTGATTTCACAAATTTAAGCACCATCTGTGATCTTACTTGTTAAAAGGGATTTTAAAACTCTATATTCATTAGGAGGAAAATTTATTCAATGAATTGAATATATGTTTTTATTCTCTGTGTGTGTTCCTCTCGCTAACACAGAGTATGAAATGCTGCTCAGGGTAAAAAGGTCAAGCCTCACGTGCTTCTTGTTTTGTCCACTGTTGGTGGTGTGTTCAATGAAGAGGCATGTCTTGATTACTATCACGCGTTCTTGCACCATGTATTATTTTTGAGTTTCCTCAATGGTATAAACATTTCGGGTTGGTCAGGTACGGATCGGGTTGGTCAAATTTAATTACCGAAAACCGATCCGACAACAGTCTGTTTCGGTTTTAAAATCTTCGGGTCGGTTTCGAATATTAAATTTTTCGGTCGGATGCGGATATTATATGCTTCGGTCGGGTCGGAAAAAGTCGGATTCTGATAAAATTGTCATCCCTAACGTCATCCCATGACATTCTATTACAATACTCGCTGATGGTGTAAATTACTTGACCGGTCAAACTATACTAGACCGGGTCTAGAATAGTTCGCTTGATTTGGCAAAGTAAGAAAGGCAAAACTCGCAGATTGACCGGTAGGACTTTAGGTGGAACACCTGTAGCCCGATTTATATTATAACGGAGAATGCACGGGTGCTTTTACAGGGAGTTTAGAGAGAATGAATTCGGATCCCCACTTCTGAGAGTTACAGCCTTATTTATACTAGGTTTGGGGGGACAGGACCACGTGCGCCCACGTGGAGGCACGTGTCTCGGATGTTGAGAGGTGATGGGCCTCGTCTCTTAGCTACCTTGTCACCTTGTGAGGGGAATTATTCCCTTTGTCAGGTAGTGCCTTGGATGGATTCCTCAAGCATCTCCAGCAATCCTTCACTGACACGGGTCGCTACTGTCCAAACCCTTTTAGATTCCCTTTTGCCGACGCTTTCTAACCTCAGAAACTACACCGGGTAATTTCTGAGGGATGAGTTTATCGTACTTAGGGAATGAATGGAGTGATAAGTAGTTTGACCGGTATACTTTTCCCGAAGTACACCAGTCAAATTCGGACCGATCAAATACCCACTTGCTGACGATTAAAGTCTCCCTTTCCAGAATTTTCAAGATTGACCGGTCAACTATTTGGTCTTCTCCTTTGACCGGTCATGGGTGGAATACACCCATCAACAAGGATGAATGGAACCATGTAATAGTTTGACTGGTATACTTTTCTAAAGTATACCGGTCATCTTTTGACCGATTTGAGTGTCCTCTGGCTGATGATTAAAGTCCCTCTCCTTAACTTTCAAGATTGACCAGTCAATTATCTGGTCTCTTCCTTTGACCGGTCATGGGTGGAATACACCCATCAATAAGCCCTCCACTTCTCGGTCATGCAATTTGTCATGAGCGGGAAGTAAAAAGTCTGAAAACAGGACCCCCGATCCGACCTTTTGGCTTTTCAAAAGGTCGTGCCCCTCCGTCTTCCCATGTGTCATGATAGTTTAACCGGGTTGCCTATTTATGTTTAGGCGGGGGAGATCAAGCCTCATACGGCTGAACAACTTGGGATGGGCCATCCTTCAGAGATTGCACGGCTGAAGAAGGAAAAAGAAGAGATGGTCCTAATTTTGAAGAGCCAGGCTGATGAGCTGATTCGGCTATCTGGGACGATGAAGGCTGAAACCTCTCAGCTCAAGGAGGAAAACAACCGGCTGCTCGGTGTACCATGTAAACATTTAACATTCTACCCGGTTGATTGTGCCTGGATTGATACTTTGCTTTTGCCTTTTATCGGTACAGAATGCAACAACCTCGATTATTTGAAATCTGATTGTTGTTGACCGGTAGAACCGCGACCTTCTTTGTTGAATGCCTTCACCTTGATGATCAACTTGAATGAGTTTGACTGGGTAAAGTACCGCGCGGTGAAATTTCATTAGACCGGTTGAACTCCAACTTTTTGCTTGCCTCTTGATAGACTCCTGCCGGTATAACTTGCTTCTTGCTCTTGGGTATCTCCATCTTGGTGGTCAACTTGAAAAAGTTTGACCGGATGAACCTTATTTTGTCTCCTTTTTGCCACTTTGCCCTCTCTTTGTTTTGACCGGTAGACTACGGTATGACCGGTAGACTACTTTGTCTCCTTTTTGCCACTTTGCCCTCTCTTCGTTTTAAGCACAGTTTGACCGGTAAGTTCCCATTTTATGGTATGACCGGTCAACTGCCCTGCCTTGTAGAACTTTCGAAGTTCCGTTGTATTAATACCCAACCGGGGTATTCCTTTTTCTTTTTTTTTGACCGGTAGGTTGTAGATGGAAGCACCTGTAACCTAGTAATTTCTTGAAGTATCCTTAACCGGTAAGAATACTGGAGATTTAACCATGTCGAATGGTTTCGAACCCTCTCCAAGGTCCAAATGCACCCTTCTTCCAGGGCCCCCTCTTCCGGGTGATTAAGTCTTTTAATGGCCCTTTGATTTCTACCATCACGGGAAGGCCTTAGCTCACCCCCCGTTCAAGTCTTCCCTGAGAAGGGGGATATAGGATGCGCCACGGTGGACGATCCTTTTCTATTTCTTTTAATGGGCATCTTTTAGTCCCCAATCAATTTGACGGTGCCGGCTGATTCCCCGACACCGGTCAAACCTCATGGGCCCGTGTAAGTACGGTTCGAACCCTCTTCCAGGTCCAGCCCTCTTGCAGGCATACCCTCTTCCGGGCCCCTCTTCTGGGCTTTATTATTTTTTCTATTATACTGAGCAAGACCGGTGTAGTAACCAGCGTGCCAGGTCCGGTCCTGTGTCTCAGTTGGCTTATCCAAGTGGATTCGATCCACCCGGGAAGCCCTCCTAGAATAGGTTCGACCTATCATTTTTGCTGCTACCACGTAGAATGCTGAATGCCATCCATTCGATTGATAATAAAAGTAGGCCTCACTTTCTAGAGTTTCTAACCGGTAGGTCCCCGGGCAAGTGATTTCTTTCACCCGGTAAGGTCCTTTCGGTTCTTGGCCAGCTTTCTTCCGTCCCCCGGCTTACTAGCCTCTCTCCTTCGGGGGACTTCATCGTCTACTTGGAAGTAACGCGGCCTAACCTTGTTGTCGTGGTACTTCTTCACGACTTCCGCGGCCATTCCGTCGTTGCATCACCATCATATCATCATCATTATCATCATCACCCATCACCCATCATCATCTCCCTCGATACTGTTCTTCTTCCCCCTCCTCCTCTCTCATCCTCATCTTCCTTCTCTTCTTCTTCTTTGTTCTCCTCCAGATCTAGCCCCCACCCCCCAAACCATACCCCCCTTTTATTCTACTTATTTTTATATTATTATTATTATTATGATTATTATAAAAATTTAATTAGTAATTTTACTCTCTAAAAAAGTAATTTTACTACTCTAATGTTTAGAAAAAGCACTAATAAATAGTGCTAAACATGCAATAATAATAATTTTTATAAATAGAGTATAACCACTACTAATTATTTTTAATATAAATAATGATATGAATTATTATTTTTAAAAGAATTAGTAGTTGTACTACTCAATTTTATTTAAAAAAACTAATAATTATGAGTATTAATTTTATTTATTATTTATTATAAATATTAGTCATTTATTATTATTTTCTTCTTGTATTGTTAATCTTATTAATTACTTGGTATTTATCACTATTTAGAGTAATAAAATAACTAGTTTTTTAGGGTGTGAAATTACCAATTAATTTTAAATAATAATAGAAAAATAAGAAGAAGAAAATTAAGGGAGAGGGTGGGGGCTGGATTGGAGGAAGAAGAAGAAAAGTTTAAAAAAAGAAGAAAAGGAAAAAGAGAAAAAGAAGATGATGATGAAGGTGAGGCAAATATGAAGAGGGGATGATGATGATGATAAATAAATGACGGAAGTAATTGGAGGAAACGGAGGGATGGATGGAAAATCACCCCTCACTTACCTCGTAGTGTATTTTAAAAATTAGAGGTACCTGACAGTCTTTATTTCAAAATACATGGTACCTACCAGTAGTTTTTTGATTAAATAAGTGTCTAACTTGAGGCAAACATTCTCATTTTTGATGTAGGAGCTAACCAGCGATGGGCTGTAACTATGTGATCATGCTTACATCCTAGTGGGGCTCCATAGTTAAGAGTGGATCTAACATGCTCACGCCATTTGGGTTTTCAGTTTTGAATCCGAATAAAGCATGTGCTTTTTTCAGCCCAAGGACAGCTCTCTTTAACTTGCTATGGAATTCTGAACGCCAGCATGAAGATCAAATTAAACCATGCTTCTATATGAGCCAACCCACGAGGGAATGCTGTACCCTACCCAGAATTGATCATACGCTTGATCCAAAAGTTGCGAGGTCAAATTCTATTATCACAAAGCTGTGCAAAGAAGGTCGTACTGCCAAAGCGCGAGTACTGTTCGACGAAATGCCTGAACCAGACGTGATTTCATGGACAGCTATGATTTCAGGGTACATAAGTTGTGGTTTGATTAGTGAAGCTAGGGAATTATTTGACCGAGCTGATGCTAAGAGAAATGTTGTTACCTGGACAGCTATGGTTGCCGGGTATATGAAGGCAAAACAAATTTCCCGGGCCGAGAGACTTTTCAAGGATATGCCGGAAAGGAATGTGGTGTCTTGGAATATTATGATTTACGGGTATGTGAAAGCTGGTAGAATTAATGAGGCGCTGGGGTTATTCCAGAAGATGGAACAGAGGAATGTTGTTTCTTGGAATATGGTGATTGGAGGACTGACTCAATGCGGAAGGATGGATGAGGCATGGAGGATTTTTCACCAAATGCCAGCAAGAAACGTGGTTTCCTGGACATCCATGATTGTCGGCTTGTCAGGCAATGGGAGAGTAGAAGAGGCAAGGATGCTTTTTGAAGGGATGCCGGGTCGGAATGTGGTTTCATGGAATGCAATGATTACTGGGTACATAAAGAATTTAATGTTTGATGAGGCATTTCGACTGTTTGAGAGGATGCCTGAAAAGAGTGTTCTCTCATGGAATACAATGATCACTGGTTTCCTAGAGAATAAGGATCTGGAAAGTGCAAGAGTGTTATTCAATGAAATGCCAAGAAAAAATGTAGTTTCCTGGACAACGATGATTAACGGGCTTCTGCAGAGTGGCGAAAGTGAAAAAGCTATAGAAACATTCAGTGAAATGCAATGGGATAGCCACGTAAGACCAAATGAAGGCACCTTCATTTGTGTCTTGGGTGCTTGTAGCAACATAGCTGGTCTCAGTGAAGGGATGCAAATTCACCAAGTAATTAGCAAGACCATCTATCAGGATAACCAACAAGTCGTTTCTGCACTTATTGAAATGTATTCAAAATGTGGAGAGCTGTTACCTGCCATAGAATTGTTTGACAGTGATGGATTTAGAAGCCGTCAAGATGTTGTCTCTTGGAATGGAATGATTGCGGCATATGCTCACCACGGATGTGGTAAAGAGGCAATCTATTTGTTCAAAGAGATGCAAAAGATGGGGTTCAAACCGAACGGTGCAACTTATGTGGGGCTTCTTTCTGCTTGCAGCCATTCGGGGTTGGTCGAGGAAGGGTTGACTTACTTTAAAGGGCTTATGAGAGACGAGTCCATAGACATGGGAGACCACCACTACTCATGCCTCATCGACCTCTGCAGCCGAGCAGGAAACCTCAAAGAGGCTTACAGACTCATGGAACAACTCCACACAAAGTTACCTGCAAAGATATGGACAACTCTTCTTTCAGGATGTAGTGTTCATGGCGACGAAGAAACTGGGAAACTTGTAGGAGAAAAACTCCTAGGGGTTGGCCAGGTTTCTTCCGAGAGTTGCAGCACTTCTACATTGCTCTCTAACATATATGCTTCAAGTGGGGATTGGAAAGAGGCTGCAAAACTGCAGGGGAAAATGAAGGGTAAAGGGTGGAGAAAGCAGCCTGGTTGTAGTTGGATTGAAGTGGAAAATAGGGTCTTTATTTTTATGGCTGGTGATAGGTCTCATGATGAAACTGGGCTGATTTATTCTTTGCTAGATATTCTTCATATAAGAATGAAGAGGGATGTTTTCTTTCCTACAGGCAATTTCATCATGGAAGAGGATTGATTCTGCATTCAATTGACCCTTTTCCTCAAGCTCGAACTTACATATGTTATATGTATGTATCTTCACACGAATACTCCAAAAAATTTGTGATTTTAAGTTAATACTCCGGAATTGAATAATATACACCGTTGGTTCCAGAAATTTTTTAATTTTATAGCAATACTCCGGACTGCCAACGAAGCACAATATGTGGGACTTTATAAATGATGACCGTAAATTATTAAGTATGTGTTGGTAATTACGGAGTGATATAAAATAAAAGAAAACAATGTTTCAGACAAAATAAAGAATCTGAAGGTACATATTTCATAATCAAATTTATATTCATTGAAAAGATCTATAAAATACAAATTCTGGACTATATCAACTTTAAAATTCTCTAAATTGTTATCTGAAACACTATTAGTAATTTATCAAATTAAAATATAAACACTTTATTTTTAAGTTTTAACACATTTTTATTTCAAATCGACATGGAGGAGAGTAATTATAACGCATTCAAGGTATTTTATTTATTTTTATAATTAATAAATATCCAATCATCATTTAAAATGTCACGCATTCAGCTTAATTGACTGCCTGGAGTATCATTGTAAAATTTAGTAATTTCCGGAAGCATTGGTGTAAATTATTTAATTTTGGCAACGGTTGCGAGAGCTTGGTCTTATTTTAAGGGTAAACTATAAATTATTATTACCCAAATCAAGCAAGTACACCAATGTCATATGCTTAACCATCAACATGGGTACAAGCATAGGCTACAAAGCAACCTAGAAGGAGCTACAAAATTACAACTTATCAGTTGCTTTGTTAGTTCCTTCTAGAATTTGATCTTATTTTAACTCGATTGCGGATGATTTGAGAGCTTAGTTTTCTTTTGATTAATAAATGAGACAACACATCTGCTTGTTTGTGCTACCTAGTCATCATAATGATGGCCGTTAGGGAATGAATTGACAATCCACTTGCTTGCATTCGTTCTATTATCTATTGAAGTTGCCTTTAAAAAAACTCCTTAAGGGATCGTTTCTGAAGTTTATAAAATAAAATATATATTAATTTGTGTATAAAATAGTAGATATATTAATCCTCAAAGTATAACACATGAGACCGTGAAAAATCAAATAGAAAGAATATTTCCAGACGGGGGAGTACTTAATTAGGAATAGAACTTTCTTTTTATACCAAAACACCATCTTAGGTATTTTTATACAAAAAAACATATTTAAAATGTCAACATATAAATATAAGAGTAAGTTCCATAAAATGTCCCAGATATAATTTGTTTTACATATTTATTTTCTACATACCAAATATCAATAATTTAGTGTTTTATGAATGGTTCATTGTTAACATTCTCGTTAAAAATGTAAATAAAATCTTAGGTCTTTTTATACCAAAAAAAATTAAAATGCCAAGATATAAATATAAATGTAAAATATATAAGAGTAAATTCCATAAAAGGTCCCCAGTTATAAGTCGTTTTACATATTTAGTTCCTACATATCAAATATTACTAATTTAGTCCCCAATCATTATATTAATTTCCACGAATGGTTGTTAACATTTCTATTAAAAACGTGGATATTATTGTAAATTCACACTACTTTCTCTCCTCAATTAAGCTTCTTCCCTCCCCTCGCACTCCTTTCCCAAACCCGTTGCTGAGTTTGATGCTTTGAACCCAAAACCAAAATTATCACTCTTCTCTCAATTGTTTTTCGAAACCAGTAACCTTCATGGATGAGTTTTAATGTTTATTTTCTTTGCAATTTCTTGAGACTAATTTAACCGATAAAATTCATCCATAAAGCTTTTTGGTTTAGATTTTAGGTTCCACCAGGAAGACTACTAATTGAGAGATAAGTGATCGTTTTAGTTTTGCGTTTAGAGCTTTAAACTCAGCGACGAGTTGAAAAAGACTATGAGAGTAGGGAGGAAACTTAATTGAGGAAAGACAGAAGTATGAATATACAATTTTATCCATATTTTTAATAAAAACGTTAACAAAAAACATTCGTGAAAAATGATATACTCCCTCCGTCCACCTAAGTTCTTTCCGTTACGCGTTACGAGACTTAACCGACTTTATTTTCAATTCAATTTAATTGATTATAGAGTAAAATTTTAAAATAAAATTTATTTAGTAATAAATTACATGAAAAGTTCTACAAAACTAGAGGTGACAAGACTATATTATTTTACGAAATGACTAGTAAAAATGAGCAAACAAAGTGAGTAAAGTTTGACCATGTGAATAGTGTCTGGGAAGATCTATGGTGGACAGAGGGAGTAATAATTAAGAACTAAATTAATAATTTGCTGATATATAGGAACTAAACATGTAAAATAACCTATAACTAGGTATCTTTGTATAGATTAATGAGATGGGAACAAAACCCCAGCATCATCGCCGCGCAATATCCACGGTCGGTCCGTAGACATCAACTACCAACACCTCTCCCTATTAACTTCGATGTAAAAACGTCAATTCCATGGATTTGCTCTTCAGTCATCCATCATCATCATCTTCCTCCACCTGTTCTTGAAACCCTTCTCCCACCAGAACCCCTACCTTAGACTCCCTCCCTCTCTCTCTCTTCCCCGGCAGAAGAAGAAGAAGAAGAAGAAGAAGCATTATTATTGCAGATATTTACAATCCCCTGCTGCAGATTTTCTGTTCCACAGATGGGTTGCTCCGCATCTCGCTCCGGTAGTCATGACTTCATCAGTCCTCGGAATTCGCGCCCCGGCTGCCACTCTACTCCCGTCCCGCGGTCGCTCTCCCTTCCTTCCCGACCGGCGGTTCACCACCCGGCCCTAACCAAAGGGGATAGCACCCATTTGGTTGTGCTAACCTCCACCACCTACGGATCACTTCTCTTAATCGACCGCCCCGAAATCCCGAACCCTGATTTCGGCTGTGCCCGTGTGAGTACCGAACCCATTTCCCCCGACTCGGTCGTCAACACGTGGGAGCTCATGGAAGGCCTGGAGGACAACGAAAATTCCGGTTCCAATTCTGCCCTTGAGTTTGTTGAGCACTCACCCAAGGGCGGCACGGAGGACAGGATTGTTGTGTACTATACAAGCCTGAGAGGGATTAGGAAGACGTACGAAGATTGCTGCGACGTGCGAATGATCTTTAGGGGATTTCGGGTGTGCGTGGACGAAAGGGATATATCTATGGACTCGTCCTACAGGGAAGAGTTGCAGGGTGTGTTGGGTAGGGTGAGCTTGCCGCAGGTGTTCATAAGGGGAAGGCACATTGGGGGCGCGGACGAGATTAAGGGACTAAATGAAGCCGGGGAGTTGGAACACCTTCTCAAGGGGTTTCCTGTGAAGCAAGAGGGGACTTTGTGGTGCAGAAGCTGCGGGGACACGAGATTTTTGCCGTGCCCGAGCTGCAGGGGGAGCAGGAAAGTGTTCGCGGAGGAGGAAATGAGGCTGAGGAGGTGCCAAGATTGTAACGAGAATGGATTGGTTCGGTGCCCCGGGTGCCTCCCCTAGTGTTTTTTTTTTTTTGGAATGCTTGGTTGATCAATAGCATCTTAGTTGTTATTATGTTCACAAATAGAATGTGATTGAAAGAAATGCTAGCTAGATCGATCATCATATCATACATTATATCCGATCCCTGCGCCCAGCCAGACAGGCACTCAAAGTACATGGTGAGTTAGTGGTTTCTATGTTTTCTTGCAACGTTCCATCTATGAAGCAGCATTGCAATTTATTTTTTGTATAGAGATTTCTAGTTTTAATAATCTTCTTCTTTAAAGTTAAGGCAATAATAAAGCACATTCTCCATATTTGCTTGCCCTTTCTATGTGTGGATCGGACTCAGATTTGACTCTGTAGATTTGATCTTAAGGTACAATGAAGAATTAGTTGCGAAGGTTCTTGTTGGAAAGAAAGCTTTTCATTTTAGACTTTGGATTGGCTGAACTTTGTCTTTTCTTTTCAAAGTAACTAGATTGCTCGACAAGAAAATTACTCAAGAAATATAAAGTTATTAAACTTGATGTAAAGACTAAAGAGCAATTTTTCAAAGAATTATTACTCTCTTTACTGAAATTAGTTCCAGGAAGTCATAAAGGACAAACTTATTATTCAGATCAATTTGAGGAAATGCACAAAAGACATTGTTTGATGAAAAATTACCTTTGGTGGCGTCCAATCCAAACCATGAAACACGCAGGATTCACAATAGGATGATCCCACAAACAACAACATATAAAGTGCTTTTGAAGTATCAAATGTTTCCACCATAAGGCTCACCATATTGGGTTTATGATCTAACATTATTAGCAGTTTGGAAAGGACATAGATAATGTTATACTCCCTCCGTCCCTCAGGTTTTGTCCACTTTTGACTTTTGAAATTGTTCATCTAAGCACTTTGACTCATCAAATTCTCTCAATGTGTAAACCTAAATATAATCATGTGTGATCTTGTTTGATTTGTCTTAACATATAGATTATTAATATATAATTTTTACAATTTTTTAATATACAAATTACAAAATAAAATAGATTAAAGAAGTGCATTGGATGGTGTGTAAAAATGAAAGTGGACAAAAACTAGGGGACGGAGGGAATGAAATGAGGTCTTTATCTAGTAGCCATACTTTCACTATACATGTGACAATTTAATAATTCGTATTGGAATTGCTTTAGGGCCTGTTTGGAAACAGAGTTAGCGTTTAGAGTTAGAGATTAGAGCTAGAGATTAGAATTGGATATTTAAAAAAGCTAATGTAATGTAAATTACAAAAATGTCCAATTCAAAATGTATTCCTATCTTTTAAATGTTGGTTGATTTTAATGATATTCGGGTGAATTTTTGCATTTGTCATTATACTCCGTATTTTTTTTATTTTTTTGCTAGCAAGTTTTAAAAATAGTTTTTTTAGAGGGAATCATTAATTTAAAAAAATGATAGAATTTTGTTAAAAATTCAATCCGTATGCAATATAAATGAACCAATAATTTACTCATTCTATCCCAAGTTTGTTTAGATGTTTATTATTATCAGAGTCAACTCATTTAAAAAAATAATATTCATGTTACCTATAATTTCATATATTTTTAATGTAGTTTTGAATTATGTAAATTTTATTTTTTTAAATTTCATCTCCATTTTCAAATAAACTATATATGGAGGTATTGAATATAATGTTAGTCAAGCATTGCAAACTAAAATAATGTTTTTAAATTGGAACTAAGGAATAATAGTTTAGCATACCATAAGAAATGAACATTACATTACAAAAAAATTAAACTTAACAAATTCTTCGAAACAAATATATATTTAATTAAGTTTAAAAAATATTTAGAGATTGACCCTATATCTCACCAAACTGTTTGCTATTTTATCTTTAAACAAGCTCATTTGTGATTCATGTGTGCCTCTGCAATGAGGAGTAAAAGTCTGATACTAAATCCTTCCTTGGATTCAATCTAGTCTCTCTTGTAACTAGTCCCAACTAGGAAAAAACGGGCTCCGACTCAAGAAGTCCATGCCCGCAATAGGTTCCGGTCTAAAGCTAAAACTACTTACACCTCTTATTTTGAAAAACTTTTCATGTAGTTTTTTAATATGTAAATATTTGATGGGTATATCCTTATACCCACCCGGATAACCGAAAGGGACAGGTCAAATATGACCGGTCACTTTTATCAATCACCAAATGAGGTTAACTCTTCGATTGGGACGGGTCAACTTTTGACCGGTCACCTCCACTAAAAAAGTGATCGGTCACATTTTGGGCGTTAGCCAATTCGTCACCTCATGTTACGGAGGATAATCCAGAGGACCAAAGAGACGGGTCGAACTCAAGAAATGACCGGACAACCTTGGAGGAAAGATGACCGGTAAGGTTGCGTCACTTGGGAATGGCAATCAACGTCAAAGGCCAGGGGACCACCCCGCCGTTCGGCCTTCACGAGGTAAATAGTGAAAGGAACATTTGTCATTTTGCAGGGCTGACTGAATTGAGAATATCCATTTATAGTCTTTGATTGAACAGTACATGTCTTGGCTTGTAGTTGCTAAATTCATTAATGGAATAGTAGACTGATTATGTACAGTGACCTTCCCATGGGCTTCTTATTTTGTCCATGGATGAACAGGGGAAGGTCACAAATTCTCCTCTATAAATATGATGATATTGGATAGAGGAGGGGATCCATTCTTTCTCTCACTAAAAACTAGTACACTCTTGAGACAGAATAAGAAATATATTTCAGACCGAGGAGATTTACCCGGTCTAGGTCATACTTTGTGTTCTTGTTGTGTGTTTTATATTAGGGGTCGAGTCTCCAAGTCAAACCCGGTCAACCCACCCATCTATATTTACACCATCATTTTTGGCGCCCACCGTGGGGCTGATTTTTAAAGTTTTTTCGACCAGGTCAAAACTTTAACCCCGCTAAATATCCACAATCATGTCTTCAAGCAACCACAACACTGTGTCAAGCCAGGCTGCGAGTGAAAGCACTCTTGCCATCCCATTGATGATGCCAGGCATGGGGACGACCTTTGCCCCGATCACCACGGTAGGATCAGTTGGCATGATCCCAATCATGTCAACCCCTACTCCTGCTCCAACGACAACAATGTTCTCAGGCTCGATAACAACGCCTGGGGGAGCATTCGCACCATACCCGTCAGCTTGGGCACAATTTGCTGCTGACCCGGCAAATGCTCTGGCTCTACAGGGCTATCAATAGGTGATGGCCATGATGCAATAGGCAGGGGGCTTCATGCCATTTGCCTATCCTGGCATGACGCCGCCAATCATGCCACCTCCGGTGTCGACCCCATCGACATTTGTCCCTAGGATGGTCCCTATACGCCTCGTGAATCTTGCGGGGACCATGAATGAAGCAGCACCCTCAAATGTCCATGAGGTCGATGAGGCGGAGCAAGAGGCGGCCCGCAGGAGGAAGGGTAAAGCTATAGCCAAACCCAGCAAGACCCGAGATTCGGCGTTCAAACGCCTAGGGGACAAAGAGGATGGGCCCCGCAAGTCTGCCAAGCTACGTCTTGGTCCTGAGATGGGCCGGACTAGCGCAATGGAAAGACTTGGTGGGAATCATCCCGCCCAATCTCGTCGTTCTAGGGAATCTGAGACGATTCACCTAGACGAGGATGAAGCTGAAAGCCAGCCTAGGGCATTGGCATATACCAGGCTATCATACGATGAGGATGACCTGGACAAGATAGGGAGCGTAGCGAGAAAGCTACGTGCCCTGGAGGAAAAAGTGGAAGAGAAGGCGGGAGCGAAGAAGCACACCCTGGCCAAATCTCCCTTTTCAGCCAGGGTACATGCACAAAAACTGAGGAGGAAGGTCAAGCTGGACGTGGAGAAGTTCACAGGAAAGGAGGATCCAAACGTCCACCTTGACACCTTCCACAATGCAGCACAGATGGCCGGGTGCACTGATGCTGAGGAGTGCTTGCTCTTCTTCTCATCCTTGAGAAGGAGGCCTGTGGAATGGTTTAACGGCCTTCCCCATGGCAGGATTGGGTCCTTTGAGAAATTTGCCGAAGTTGTCCGCAAGAAGTACCAGGATAACTGCATCAAGAGGAAGAAGTTCACCTACCTTAACACGGTAGGGCAGAGGGAGAAGGAGTCCTTGACTCAATTCTTAACCCGCTGGAGGGACGAGGTTGACAATGTAGAAGAGATGGATGATAAGACGGCCATGTCTTTACTGATGAATGCCTTCCGGTTGGGTGACCTCTACACTGAATTATGTAGAAGGCCACCCTCTTCTTATCAGGAAGCCTATAACACGGCATGGGAATACGCCAAGGCGAAGGTCCTGAACAAGAGCAAGCGGGAGATAGAGGAAGGCCATACAAAGGTGAAATCTGACAAGCCGAAGAAGGATGACCAGACGGGAGGGTCCAAGCCAAAGGCCACATATGACGGGTCCATCCACCAAATAAGGGATGAGAAGAAAGGAGAACAACACAAGCAGCCTTGGACAGAGAAGTGGTGCACCTACCACCAATCCGACTCTCACAACATGACAGATTGCCGGAATGTGAGGGTCGTGCTCAGGGAGATGACCTTGAGAAGAGAATTAGGTGAAATATTCGTTACGGGGCTTGAGGAAGACCCATAGGCGAGTACTTGAATCCACCCACATGAATATGATCAGGGAAAGAAGAGAGGGTGGATAAGATGTGGTCAAGATTACTAAGCTTGTTGTAGACGGATCAGTCTTGATGTCTAGGACTTGGACCATTGCATGGGCTGATAGCAAAAACAAAAAAAAGAAACCCTTGAGATAGGGGCCTTGATGTTGAGGTATCGCCTTGAGACAGGCTGGATCCGGAAGAGGATTCGCATCCATACTTACATGAATCCCTACCGACTTTTTGGTCGGGAAGGGTTAGAAAAGATGCCAAAAAAAAATATTACCGTCTTGTATGAGCCATCCTTTGNGAGAAGGCGGGAGCGAAGAAGCACACCCTGGCCAAATCTCCCTTTTCAGCCAGGGTACATGCACAAAAACTGAGGAGGAAGGTCAAGCTGGACGTGGAGAAGTTCACAGGAAAGGAGGATCCGAACGTCCACCTTGACACCTTCCACAATGCAGCACAGATGGCCGGGTGCACTGATGCTGAGGAGTGCTTGCTCTTCTTCTCATCCTTGAGAGGGAGGCCTGTGGAATGGTTTAACGGCCTTCCCCATGGCAGGATTGGGTCCTTTGAGAAATTTGCCAAAGTTTTCCGCAAGAAGTACCAGGATAACTGCATCAAGAGGAAGAAGTTCACCTACCTTAACACGGTAGGGCGGGCAGAGGGAGAAGGAGTCCTTGACTCAATTCTTAACCCGCTGGAGGGACGAGGTTGACAAGGTAGAAGAGATGGATAATAAGACGGCCATGTCTTTACTGATGAATGCCTTCCGGTCGGGTGACCTCTACACTGAATTCCGTAGAAGGCCACCCTCCTCTTATCAGGAAGCCTATAACACGGCATGGGAATACGCCGAGGCGGAGGTCCTGAACAAGAGCAAGCGGGAGCTAGAGGAAGGTCATACAAAGGTGAAATCTGACAAGCCGAATAAGGATGACCAGACGGGAGGGTCCAAGCCAAAGGCCACATATGACGGGTCCATCCATCAAATAAGGGATGAGAAGAAAGGAGAACAACACAAGCGGCCTTGGATAGAGAAGTGGTGCACCTACCACCAATCCGACTCTCACAACACGACAGATTGCCGGAATGTGAGGGTCGTGCTCAGGGAGATTACCTTGAGAGGGGAATTGGGTGAAATATTCGTTACGGGGCTTGAGGAAGACCCATAGGCGAGTACTTGAATCCACCCACATTAATATGATCAAGGAAAGAAGAGAGGGTGGATAAGATGTGGTCAAGATTACTAAGCTTGCTGTAGACGGATCAGTCTTGATGTCTAGGACTTGGACCGTTGCATGGCTGGTAGCAAAAACAAAAAAAAAACCCCTTGAGATATGGGCCTTGATGTTGAGGTATCGCCTTGAGACAGGCTGGATCCGGAAGAGGATTCGCATCCATACTTACATGGATCCCTACCGACTTTTTGGTCGGGAAGGGTTAGAAAAGATGCCAAAAAAAAATATTACCGTCTTGTATGAGCCATCCTTTGTGGATCGGAATGTCTAGGGAAGACTAGAATTTCCGAACACATAATATATGGACATGCAGGATTGCATGAGGGTTGGTTCTCACCGGCATACCACCATGTGGGAAGATTAGGTTGGCTAGGTCAACATAATAATTAGAGAATGGCACATTAAAAGACTTAAAACCTGGAAGAGGGGCCCTGGAAGAAGGGTGTTGCCTGGAAGAGGGCTGAACCTGGGAGAGGGTTCGCGACCATAGGACATGGTCAAAATCTCCAAAGAAAAGGTCGGGTCTTGATGTCGAGACTTAAGACGAAAGCTGTTTCGGAACATTCGATCGAAGTTTGATCAAGGTCGGGGTAGAACACGACAGACAGGCTAGATGGATATAAGAAGAGGGCATGGTCAAAAGTGACCGGTCACTTCTTGATGTTCTGGAATGACCAGAAATGGCGAATGGAAAAATCTAAAATTTGACCGGTCACTTTGAAAAAAGTGACCGGTCACTTTTTTAGTTGGCGGATTTGATGAAATCAGATAAGTCTGGGAAAATATTTTTTGACCGGTCACATTTTTGACCCGGCACTTGGACAGAAAATTTGACGTCATGCTGGTTACGTAGTGCAACCAAGCCATTGGAAGTTGATCGGGACGAATTTAACCTAGACATTTATTGTTCGACCTGACAAGCTAGAAACAAAGTGACCTGGACGTTTTCAACTCTGGAGACCGGGACATAAGATGACCTGGAAGTATTCAAGCCTCGCATCTAAAATGACCTTCAAAACTTTCAACCTAGCCTATTAAACCAGGACATGAGATGACCTGGAAACTTATTTTATTTCAACATGGACGTGACCTGGACGTTTTCAAGAGTTCAAGACTTGGATGCTTTCAACAAAGCCTACCAGACCTAGACACTTTCAAAATGTTACCTAACCAGGCCTAGGCCGGTTACTTCTATTGACTTGGAAGCAAGCATGTTCTGAGAAATTGTCAACCAAGCCAATTAGACCTGGACATTCTTCAAATGATTCTTAAAGTTTTAGACCGGTTACCTTTGTTGACATGGCAGTTCAGTCAAATGTGTTCATTATGAGGGAAGTCTAACCAGTCAACTTCAAAGGGGGACCAGGCAAGAAAATAACCATGCAAGAAACTTAACCATTCAAGAAGTTCAACCAGGCGCAAAGGAATGCGACCGGACCATGAAAGCCTCCTTAATTGGTGATCATTCCATTTGAAGAGGGCCGGCCTTCTTTTTCCTAGAACCCTTCGAGAACTCTTATGTTAACCCTTCCACTCTTGGGACTTGACCCAGTTATCATATGAGATTTGCATCATATAACCGGGTACTTGACCGGTTACTCTTGAAGGGGTGTGCACCCGGCACTTGACCGGGTACTCTAGGAGGACTAGGAGGACTTACATTGCAGAAGACTGGTTAATTATTTAGAGTTTACATTTGGATTTCCCAATAATTCAAACGTGACAGGTCCTAGAGGAAGACATAATGATTACAAAAGTGACAGGTCCGAGAAGAAGGCTTGATGATCTCAAAAGAGACAGGTCGGAGGGGAAGACTTGGTGATTTCAAACGTTACAGGTCCGAGAAGAAGACTTGATGATTACCAAAGTGCCAGGTTTGATGAACCCCAAAGCGCCAGGTCTGATGAACTCCAAAGTGCCAGGTCTGATGAACTCCAAAGTGCCAGGTCTGATGGACTCCAAAGTGCCAGGTCTGATGATCTCCAAAGTGCCAGATCCGATGAACCCCAAAAGCGCCAGGTCTGATGAACTCCAAAGTGATACGTTTGATGATCCGCAAAGTGCCAGGTCTGAGGAACCCCAAAGTGCCAGGTCATGGGAAAGACTTGCTGATTTCAAAGAAGGACAGGTCATGGGAAAGACTTGATGATTACAAAGAAGGACAGGTCATGGGAATGACTTGATGATTTCAAAGAAGTACAGGTCATGAGAATGACTTGATGATTTCAAAGAAGGACAGGTCATGGGAATGACTTGATGATTTCAAAGAAAGACAGGTCATGGGAATGACTTGATGATTTCAAAGAAGGACAGGTCATGGGAATGACTTGATGATTTCAAAAGTGATAGATCAACATAAATATACTTCCCGCCCTTGATGACTTCCTCACAAGGCCGGTAAGTGTAGGACTTCTTGATGGGTATATCCCTATACCCGACCCGGATAACCGAAAGGGACAGGTCAAAGTATGACCGGTCACTTTTATCAATCACCAAATGAGGTTAACTCTTCGATTTGGACGGGTCAAAAGTTGACCGGTCACTTCCACTAAAAAAGTGATTGGTCACATTTTGGGCGATAGTGAAAATATCACCTTATTCTACGAAGGACATTCTAGAAGACCAAAGAGACGGGTTGAGCGCAAGAAATGACCGGGTAACCTTTCAGAGAAGGTGACCGGTCATATCACTTTACTTGGCTAACATTGGTCCAGTCTCTTAGGCATGGTGAACCACGTCAGAGGTCAAGGGGACACCCCACCGCTCATCCATCACGAGGCACACAGTGAAAGGGATGTTTGTCATTTTGCAGGGTTGATTGGATTGAGAATATTCATTTTTGTCTTTGATTGAACAATGCTTTTTGGTTGTATTAGTAGCAAGTCAATGATTGTACAGTGCTTCCATTATCTACAATGACCTTCCCACGAGCTTCCTATTTTGTCCATGGATGAACAGGGGAAGATCACAAATCCTCCTCTATAAATATGATGATATTGGATAGAGGAGGGGATCCATTCTTTCTCTCACTAAAAATAGTACACTCTTGAGACAGAGTAAGAAATATAATTCGGACTGAGGAGATTTACCCGGTCTATGTCATATTTTGTGTTCTTGTTGTGTGTTTTATATTACGGGTCAAGTGTCCAGGTTAAAACTCGGTTAACCCGCCCATCTATATTTACACCATCAGACAGATATAATATGTTTACACATCTCATGCTAATGTAAACAAATACTATATTCCTATATTTATATTAAAAAAAGATGTTTATCAGATAGTGTTGTTCTGCTATTGAGACTAACATCTTGACATAAATATTTATCTAAATGTCCATAGTCGAGTATTAACGAGTGTGGGATATCGTTAATGCATGTGAGACTAGTGTGTGTTGGATGTTTGACTTAGTCTCATAGTCAATGATGGTGTTTTTCTTTTTGAATTTATGGATTTATATCCTAATTCGATTCATTTTAATGAATTTTTGTATTGTTTTGTTCGGATTTGATTGATTATCATGTTTTTTTCTAATTTTTGTTATCATCTTGGTGTGATAGACCGATTCTTGGGGAAAGGGACGTCTGCCACTTAAGATTGAGCTCGATCAATGCTTTTTTTGATACTAAGGACTCATTTTCTGGTTCTTATTTTGATCGAGCCATAAAAAAATATTTTTAGTCTATAAATCTAATGTAACTATGTGATCTAGAAAATTTTAGTGGTTTACCCGCGAAATGTTGTAAATTATAACATATAATAATATGTTTTTTATGTTTATTCAAATATTCATATAAAAATATCATTTGTTCGAGTCTTATTTATTTTTATGTTTGATTTTCACCGACTATTTTTTCTAGCTCAAATCTGCTGGATATTTACTTATACCTATTTTGAGCTCATAGATTCAGCTGAGTAATACGTTATTTGATACTAAGGAACCCTTTCTGGTTTTATTTTGAGCGACCCATAGAAAATTAAGTTTTCAAAATATTTTAGTGGATACATCAAAAAGTACTTTGATTCACTAATAATGGATCTATCCCCATATGATCAGGGTATAAAAACGAAGCTACGGACCTTTAAATTTATATTTAATACAGTACAATATACATTTCATTTCTTATACGACATAATTTTAATTAGGAAACAACTTTACTATTGTAGGTCCTCTTACTGTGGAAGCATTCCGCAAGGTACACATTTATTTAGCTTTAACTTTTCTAATTAATCTTCCATAAAATATAAAATATATGAACCAAAACTATTTTTTTGATTTGAATGTTTCATATTCTTATTTAATGCAGGGAATGCTGTTTGACTTTCGGTCCAACGTAGCTATATAAGTCAAAACCCCTAATCTTTTAATACAGATTTCTTAATTTTTAGTCCATACCCTAAAACCTAACTTGTTGTTTTTAATGTCAGGAACTTCTGGGGTCGTATCTGTGTAATTATTTGCTATCTGTGTAAAAATTAGGAACAGAAAAGGTAAACATTCTTTGTATATTTTTAATTCTATTCTATCTCCTCTTTGTATTGTGAAATCTTAAAACCTAATTTGAAATATGTAGGAAGGTTTTTGTGCATGAAATTGGTGAATAACTTAAGGTACGAAAAACCGGGAGTATCTTTCAGTATATTTTACCTCTACCTCTGTTCGTTAACCGACATGCATTTTTCTAAAGAATAATTTTTTTTAATTGCAGGTACATATCCATACATACAACCCTTATCATTACTGCGCAAAGGTAGACATCTTTACCTAATTACCATTCTCAAGCGCAGGCCTATTGCATTAAGGACAATACTTTCTCTTAAATTATTTTAAAGTGCTACGGTCTTTAAAAAACGTTTTGAATGTATTTAGTTAAACATTGTTATTACGTTTTACTAATGATAAATACTTATTTTACATAATCTTTTTTATTATATAACATGTTTTTTCCAAATGTTGCTTTTAATTATGGAGAGCCCGTATTGAATTGAAAATCAATGTTTTTCTAACTTTTATTTAGCTAAACTAATTTATTGTTTTCAATGTTAATTTAAACTCTAGATGTGGATTTTAGTTGTTCATTTTTTGTATGAATTAAAAATATATATTTAGTTTTTATGTTAATATAAAAGTATAAATAAAAACAACTTATGGTTTTTGATATTACTGATAATTACAAAAGGTTATATGTTTGAATTAAATTGTATTGTGTATAACCGACCAAATGCCTTCAATTTATTTATATTTTAGAAAAGTAATATGATTTTTGGAAAATTGCTTTTCTGGAAATTTACTTAATGAATTTATTTTATACAATGCTAATCTATATTTTTCAATTGACAATTTTCAGTAATATGAAAATGTACAATATTTTATTTCTATTGGCCATTGTACATCAGAACTAGTGTTAACCCCGTGCTTCGCACGGGCTCGTATATATTCTAAATTTATGAGATTGTAGAAATATAATTTTAGTTGTTTTAGATTTTTTAATAGTGACAAAATATATTTTAAATTGGTTGAATATATATTGGTATGTTATTTAAAAATAAAAAAATTCTACAAAATTAATGGTCATTGAATTTAGTACTAATAAAAAAAAGTTTAAATTAATAAAATATTTTAATAGAAAGTGGATTAATTACATAATAATACATCATTAGAGAATGTATATGTGTCATAATGTTGCTTGTCAGTCGTTACCCTTCAACGAAAGCAATTTTATTTTATTTAGTTTGTTAAAAAATATTTGTAGCAATAGAATAAATAATGTAATAAGATAAAATTTTTGAAACAAATTATTTAATTAATATATATGCATATGTGATTAAATTTATATAATCATTTTTTAAAAAGTAATAAACAAAAATAAGTTGTGGATAGTATAAAAATAATTATATATATTTATATATATAATATGGAGTATATTTTACAATGATGAAATATATATTTATAGAATTATTAAAAAATGAAAAAAGTTTTATGCAAATGCATTCAAAGATCTTTTAGAAAAATCAAAATGGACCAATGAATTGAAATGCATAAATCCACATCATTAGTGAGTGCACATGTGCATGCACATGTGGCATGCCACATGTCAACACTACAACAATTGAACTCTCTTTTACATATATATACTAGTATTTTCACCCGTGCAACGCACGGGGTATAATACATGTTATTTTTAACCCTGTTAATTTTTTGTTTTATGAAAATAATTAAGGCAAAAAGACCAAAGTAGGACTAAAACATTGAAAATATACCAAAATAGGACTTCCATGATAGTATTCCCGAAATAGGACTTACATTACCAAACATAGTCATATACATTACCAAGAAAGTATAGTAATTTACACATGTACACTGCCACATTACCACAATGCAAAGTCACATTACCATAATGGAAAGTTTTATTCCGGGAAAAAAAACATGAAAGTCCTAATTTGATACTTTTCTCTATGTTTTAGTCCTATTTAGGATGATTTCTAAATAATTAAAGAATAAAGGTAAATATAATATAGAATGTTAGATACAACATAAACAGAGTTTGGTAACTTAAATTCATGTATATTAAAATTGAAAAGAATGTACAAATGTATCAATTAAATCCAGTTTTTTTGGTAAACTTTAGGGTAAACCACATTTTTGGTAGAATTGCAAGGGTAACCGTTGTCATTTAAAACTAATAGTTTCAATCCTCTCTTAGTTTTCACTCGTGAAACTGCAACATAAAGTTGACCGTGAGTGATCATGAATACCGATTTGGTCAAGAATAATCCAACAAAAGATAATGTTTGGCTTTGACTCTTATTGATTGTCATGCCAAAACATAAAGATATTGGAAATTGTATTCTTTGAAACTTAAACGGTAATCTAGGATCTCACGGTACCAAATTCATTCTTGGTATGTAAACTTTCTCACCGCATTGTTTCATGATACAACAATTGCACTAATAACGTTTCATCGCAACTCTTCAACTATTAACCTTGTACCATTACACAACACAGACGTTTTCGTAACCGTTGATTAAAAATTAGTCTAAAGCGCAATTACTTATAATGTATAATTGATTTTGTCTTAAATATATTTTATCAACAGCTAAAAAAATTTACTCTGCATTTTAAAAATTGTACACACAACCTATTTAAATATTAGTGTGCTTGGTTATATATTATGTGCTCCTAATTCTCACAAAAAAGGACTTTACACATGAGACCCAAAAGGAACACTTACTTGCACTCCGAAATAATAATTTTTATGGCTTTATCCCTCTGTTTCTTCTTTTTAAGAAGATCCACGGGCATTGCTTCGAGGACAACTCTGGGTAAAATCTGAAACGGCAAAGGATATAAATTACAACTTAGCCCTTCCTGTTCAGGGTACCTCAGTTGATTGTACCCAGTCATGATATTTGCACATTGCTCCTGCTTATAATTAAAAATTGTCCCCATTTTATAGGATATAGGATATTGATGCGTAATTTAGATAACCATTTTTGTATGAATAATCTATACTGCATTTTTGGCCAAAGTATTTTTTTAGTTCTTAAGCAAGGCTTTTTATATTAATAGTGTACAAAGAATCGAAACGGAAATTCATTAATTCAAACACAAAAATAAGTACATTAACATTACTTAGAGCTAGCCACTTCCAATACCATGTTTCCTGTGCCATATCGAGGTTGGAAACTTAGTTTGAAGGGTTTTGTAAATATAAATATATAAGAAAACACCCATGTGACACACACAGGTTTCAAACAAAGTGTGGAACACATACACTTGAAGACTAAAATAAGATACGCACTGTCCCCAATGTGTTGAACTTAAGCATATATAGCACATAACTCAGACACAGGGTGCAGGTTATTTAACGAACATAAATCTGCAAACAGTACAATTTAGTAGATAACAATCTAGGAGATAAGATCTTCGATAACAATCCCATTTCTTGGTTTCTTTCTGGGTTTGGTTGTTGAGCTCTGATCCTTGAGGAGCTTACCAAATTCTTCATCTTCTAGACTTCATTCCACAACTTTTGCCTTGCCTTTATTCATTTGCCTTGTGCCTTCTTCATTTGAGGCAATCTGATATAGAGTTTAAATAGTCATTCATAGCTCCCCTTTTATCATTATCCTCTATATTATGTAATTAATTTGGCCTGTTCTCTGTTGAATTCTGAAAAATCAAAACCATTCCATCCATCCATCTCATCTTTAACTGCTGCAGGGGATTTGTACTTGGCAATTGTCTTCGGGTCCGTAATCATTGTCAACACACCAAAGCTCCTTGGTCCTTGGTACTTAGTGTAGAGGGAGGCGTTTCTCAAAACAGTTTCAAACAGCCCGGTCTTTGAAAGTAATTCTTGCTTAAGTTCTTTCGGAAACTTGCGGTCATCCTTGGTTCGCTTTAAGAAATAATAAAACATTTTTTACGTTATCAATGGGGTAATAATTGTTCTTAATGAAAAACATTTTTTGATTCAATAATCAACAAACCTTGATCATAATCTCTCTCATTTTTGTGGCGGACATACCCATTATCTCCTTGCACTCCTTGTCCCAAAGAACAAATGTTGCAGTGCCTGAGGGGTCTTTCATAGTCACTGTAACTTTGTACCTAGTCATTAAAGGGACGGAAAACTTTGATATCAATAATCTGACATTAAGAAAAAATAATATTTTTGAAATAACTCTAAAGTGACTAATATTTTTGAAATAAAATTCTGAAGAAATTACTTTTAATTAATTATTATACCTGTACTTCCCGGTGGACATAGTATTTTGGCATTGAAGACACCGAAAAACATTGCCCGCTTGCACTATCTTTCGACAACAGTTTTTGTCTTTGCAACTCAAATAGGACCAGTCATTGTAGTTCTCAATAGTGACAATATCAGCCATAATCCAGAACTAACCATCTTATTCACCAAAATTAGTTAAAATATAATTCCAGTAAAGGTAGGGAAGAATTTTTTCGAGTAGTTTGTCCAACCTCAGTTTCATTAAGTAGGTTGTGACTTGTGAATGCTAGTAATCTTTAGGTTTCCACAGGTGTTTTCTGTCCCCTCACTACTTTGTGTGCTTTGCGTGAGAGTAAAGGTGCTTGGAGATCTGCACTCATCAACCTCGGTCTTAAATGTTTTGAGAAATTCTTTTGCCTCTTCCGATTCATTGTCCAGTATAAGTTGAGTGACATGGAAGGATGTGGTTATTTGAATTTCTTTTGCACGTATATAATTATTTAAAAACAAAAATAGAAAACAGAATAGGAGAAACCAAATGAATAATTCAAAACTCATACTTAGGAAGCAGAATGATTTAAAACCCATAGAAATTCTTTTGCACGCAGAACTTCACCAGTAGAATAGGATTTGTTATTCCTGCTCCCACCACTTCATTAAACTTGTCAATGTAGTCATCCCACATGGTGCACCAAAGTTTTTGTCCTCTATGAAGTGAAATTTCCTCCGTAAATTAAAAAAAATAATATTGAAAGGGAAATAATTCATGCAAGAATAGGAATAAGCATTACTTTCCATCTTCCAAAGTCAGCTCTAATGTTCTTTGGGGTTCCCCTCGAACCACATCTGCAAATCAAATTAAATAGGATAAGATTAGTATGATAAATAAAACATGAATAAGAAATCTGAATTTCTCTTAATTACCAGTAAGCCGGCTTTCGGATAGTGGTTCTAATAATTTTTCAAAAGGGCACAACTTGGACATAAAGCTGGGAAAACGATATGCACTGATGTCCTTCCAGGCTGTGTGTCTATAAAAACACAAAGTATATGGGTAGTCTGTGGTTTTGTAGCGTTGGTCGTTCTTGTTAACCACAAAATTTTTGAGTGCACAAGCTTTTCCTTCTTTGATTTTGGGTTTGAAATCTTCTAGTTGTGCTCTCTTAACTTGGGCATGAATTCTGGTACCCTGTAAATCAGAAAAGAACATGCTTATACTTTCTAACATAAACCTATACAAAATTTTCAGTTAATGTGTTGTATACAAATACCTCTGAATCATGGAAAATAATTTCCATGGTGTTTTCTTTTCTATCCCGGGTAGGAACGTTGTAAAATCTAACAGCTCTCACGCAAATGGCCCAATCATGTTTGGTGTCATCCAAAGCTTTCAAACATGACCAGAGGCCACCACTTCCACTTGATGCACTTGACATTTTGTTGTGTTCTTCCCCTTTGCAGGCTGGGAGTTGATTGTTGTGATAATTATGTGGAAGCATACGCAATTGTCCAATTTATACTGCAGTAAGTCTCGAGGAGAGGTAGTGCAGGATTGGGTGGTTGCTGCCCAGGTTTTATGGGAAGTGGAGAAGTGTGAAACCACGTACAGGCACTTGATTTTTAATTGTTTTTATTTGTTTTTCTTTTTGTATGAAAAATATAATTGAGTTTCCAATTTTTTTTCAGCACGGAGTGGGGAGTTTTTTTATCTTTTTAACTTTATTTCTGGAAACTGCCCATAATAAAATTAATAAAACATTTTTAAAATATGTTTTTAATATCATTTTTAAAATCAATATATATATATATATATATTATATGTTGAATATTTTATTTTGGTTTGTCATTTAAATTATGAAAATAATTATTTTGACATAAACTATTTAAAGTATATTTGTATACTTGTTTAAAAATGATATTGGTATTTTTAATTGATCTAAAATTAATTTTATATTAATTTTTGGTGTCAAATAAAATACACTTTGAACATTTAAGTGGAAAAAAATTTCGAGAATCCTTCTCACTTTTTCAAATCAATTGTTCGGCCATCATAAGGATTTTGAGAATCAAACTTTCCTTGATTAATACTCCGTAATTAAGTGGCTAGTTAATTTTGTCATTTAGCTAATGACAAAATAGTTTGATTAATCACTTTGAATCTTTTATTTTCTTATTAAAAAGGTTACACGGCACTTTGAAATAAAAAGACGGTGAAGATTATCATTTTGATTAGTGTTTCATACGGCCATATTTTTGGAGAGACGAAATGTTATTTTAAGTGTTCCATTAATATCATTTTATGTATAGAAATTATCTATAATATTTTCTAAATATTATTAGAAATATTTTTTATAGAAATATACAAGATTATTATTATCCCAAATTTTAATCTTTATACTTTATACTACTATAATCTTTACTAGCATAAAGATTGTGGTAGACTCCGGCGTTGTTCGTGTGTCAAAGTTGGAGACCGGACGCTTGAACGGTTACGTTTGCACTTTCAACGCTCTTCCTACGACTTCTTCGTTTTTATCGCTTACGGAGAAGGGTATAAATTTCTTACTAGTACGTGATTCTGGGCAAGATAATCATGTTAGGATGTTAAAATTTTTATATTCCGCTGTCTATCCTTGCATGATTACCTTTCAGGGGTAACTATTATTTTAGTCCAATTTTAAATGGTACTCAATTAGATAATATGGAGTAACTATGTATTTTTTAATTTAGTCTAAAAAAATGAACTAATTACAAAGACTTTATACCAATTTTAGCGGATTTAACTAGTAAAACAATCAAAAAGTGTGTTTGGTAGTTGGCTGCAAAGATTGGCTGTTTAAGTCCGAAAAAGTCTAACTTTAAAAAGCTACGGGGAGTAGCATTTCACTTTGGCTATTGGAAAATAGGTTTTAATATACTATTTGTTATTGTATATAATTTTTATGAATAAATAACAAAAAATAGTTATTGTAAGTTTAAATAAAAAAGTGATAAATATATATATAAATAAAAAATGACAAATAAATACATAAATCAATTAATAACTAAATAAATGAGTAAGTAAATAATATATATATATCCATAGTAAATAAATAAATAGTCCTTCCCAACTAAGATAATCGATTGGTCAAAGCAGCCAACTCAACCAACTGTTCAAATCGGCCAACAAGAACAACTATCAGCCAATAGCTAAATTCCAAAGAGGGCCTTAATCTCCGACATGGGGATGAAGGTGGCATATGACGAATCAGAAGGGGCTCTGATTGGATAGGGTGCAACATTGACTTTTACACTATGTTTAGTTCAATAATATTCAAAGAGAAAGAAAAGAGAATGGTAGAAAACCATTTTCTTGTTTGTTTTCGTATCATTTTCTTTTCTCTCTCGAATACCTTAACAAAACATAGCGTTAGGAAAAGAGAATCCTTAAGGCTCAAATCTACGTAAGGACTAGTGAGTCATGCGCAAACTTTCGCTACGATTTTCCAAACTTCTACTCTCTCCGTCATAGATTACAATTTTTTCTCTTTGCTCTCGATAACTTTTGTTTGTTTACGCGATTTCATTAAGTATTAGATAAAATAAAATATTCTTGTTACCTCTTGTTTTGTAGAATTTTTGACATAGTTTTTTAATATGTAATTTTTATATATTATTGATATACCAATTTGTAAATAAATTGATTTCAAAAAGTAAGAAATTTTACTCCGTAACCCGCAATTTGTAATCAAATTGGGGAAGGAGGGAGTATATATTTTGTAATAATGCTAAATTTAATACACCAATCCAATAATCTATCACATCCAGGATATTTTTCCCTCTGCTCGAGAGTTTCTCATTTTCTTTGAGATCACTCAGTTTATTTATTTTATGTCTAAATGAGAGCTCACACCACCCACGGCTGTAAACAAATCAAATATCTTAAATTCGATTCGTGATTTAAATCATAATCTTGCATTTTTAATTACCTCATACACAATTAAATAGTGTCCTTCATCAAATTATATATTCGATTTCAAAATTATGTTATACTCCGTACTATATTCTAAAAATATTTGAGAACTAGTGATGTACTATAAATAAGGACATAATTTAGGACATGAGAATGATATTGGAGGTGGTTTAGTACAAAATAAATATGTTATGTCAATAAATTAAAAGTAAAAATTATGTTTAAGACCATTTTCAAAATAAAAAAATTTGTAAAGACAATTTAACAAAAAAATACAAGGCTAAAAAACAAAAGTCACATATTTTACAAAGACTAAAAGCATATTTAGTGAATGAACCATGCTATTGGTATAACAAAGGTGTACTCCAATTTTTACCCCAAAGAAATACACCGATATTTTAACAGTTCACACGGGCAGAAAATGTTAATTCATTTAAAAAAAATTGCATTCACATTTTTTTTCAATGTAATCATCACACCAAAACAAAATATCGATGCATGCATATAAAATATAGTATAAATTTTAGTGTAGAGACCCTTATTCCTTAGTCATTTATTTGAGCCATCGAGGACATATTAAAGAATTTAAAAATCAAGCCCCAAAAAGAGAGTATGTAAATTGATGGGTATATCCCTATACCCGACCCGGACAACCGAAAGGGACAGGTCAAAGTATGACCGATCACTTTTATCAATCACCAAATGAGGTTAACTCTTCGATTGGGACGGGTCAAAAATTGACCGGTCACTTCCACTAAAAAAGTGACCGGTCACATTTTGGGCGATAGCCATTTCGCCACTTAATGTTGCGAAGGATATTCCAGAGGACCAAAGAGATGGGTTGAACTCAAGAAATGACCGGGTAACCTTTGAGGAAAGGTGACCGGTCATGTTGCGCTACTTGAGAAGGGCAATCAACATCAGAGGCTAGAGGACACCCCGCCGCTCATCCATCACGAGGCAAACAGTGAAGGGAATTATTGGCGTTTTGCAGGATTGATTGGATTGAGAATATCCATGTTAGTCTTTGATTGAACAGTGCATGTCTTGGCTTGTAGTTGCTATATTCATTGATTGAATAGTAAATTGATTATGTACAGTGACCTTCCTCCGAGTTTCCCATTTTGTCCATGGATGAACAGGGGAAGGTCACAAATCCTTCTCTATAAATATGATGATATTGGATAGAGGAGGGGATCAATTCTTTCTCTCACTAAAA